GCACACCAAAACTTCTTTGAATAACGTTTGGTACATAATTATTAACTGGTTGTTGCAGGTTGGGGCGGGCACGTTAGCGGTGTCAATTCCATTTTGGCGAGCGAGCATAGCGAGCAAGCAAAAAAAAAAATTCTCTTTTAATAGAAATTAATAAATAAACTTGTTTTTATTGGTGCAGGTCAGGATGGACGCAATCGCGTTTAACGCGATTCAATTCCTTTTTGGCGAGAGGGCGAAAAAACTCTTCCATTTTTAATGATATTGTTGCAGGTCAAGGGTGGGCACAATTGTTTCCAAAGCAATGTCTATTCATTTCATTCGCGAGCGAGTGTAGCGAGCGAGAAAAATGAATTAGTCTCTTTTAGTAACATTTGGTACATATATTGTGTGTTATTGTTGCCATGGTTGCAGGTCGGGGCCCGTCGGGGCAGGCACAATTGTATTCTAGGCAATACTAATCCTTTTCTTTTTTCAGGGGGACGAGCAAGTGAAAACATTTTATACAAAATAGGCTAGCAAGCAGTTCGCGCCAGCGAAGAGTTTCGAATTTGTTATATCACTTATATTTTCCTATTTTCATTTGTTTTAATTTGTCAGGATGCGTTAAAAGTTTTCGAAGAATCTCAAAAGCAAAAGGAGTGAAGGGAGTTCGAGCGACCGAACTGGTCATGAGGGTACTTTTGCATTTTCAAAAGTAGAATTGAAGGATTTGGTATAGGCCTACACTACATTTTCAGGAAAAAAAACTGTACGTTTTCAAAATATCTGGGGTCAACTGCCCCCCCCCCCCTGGTGCGTACGGCCATGGTCTTTTTAAAAAATAATTTCCCCATTTTTATTCCTTTCCTTTTCTTTTCCCTTTTTCTTCCTTTTCTCTTCTTCTTCCTTTTTTTCTTTCCTTTTTTTTCCCCTATTTTCTCTTTCTTTCCTTTTTTCTTCCCTTTTCCTTTTTTCTTTTTCTTTCCTTTCCTTTCTTTTCTTTTCTTTCCCCTTTTTCTTTTTTCCCCCTGGAGCCCGTCAGGGGGGGCACTCTGCCCCCCTGCCCCCCCATAGGTACGCCAGTGGGGGGGGGGGTTTAACATTTTTAAATCGGGCCGAAAATTTCGCATCGACTCAGCCAGCCGCTGAATAAGCGGGGGGGGGGGGGGGGGGGGGGGGGGGGGGGGGGGGGGGGGGGGGGACACTTTTTTTTTTTGGTCTCGAAATTTGAAAATTTGACATTTTGCTCCGTTGGGGGGGGGGGGGGTAAGGTCGCCTTTTTTAGGTCAGCCATGGTAATAAATTTTTTTTTTTTTTTTTTTTTACTATTATTAAAAAAAAAATTAAAAAATTAAAAAAAAAAACCTAAGGGGTGGGGTTTGGTTTTTTTTAAGGGGGGTTATACACATAAAAATACCAAGGGGGGGGGGGGTTAACCCCCCCAAACACCCCCCCCCCCCCCCCCCCCCCCCCCCCTGCGTACGCGCCTGATCTGAGTATATAGTAGTTAAAGATATCACAAGAGACAGTGATAAACACAATATAAAGACAAACAATTACAAAAACATGTGTGAAATAATGTAAAATTGGAGGGGGTTTGAAGGTTTTGAAGGTGAATTCAACGGTACTCAGAATACAAGGTGAGTTTTATTTGTTTTTAAAACATTGAACAGTTTTTATCGGAGGTAGAGTTCCATATTACGTTTGGCAAAGTATTTTTTAGAGAATGAACTTTTTACTTTCCATAATGAATCGTGTTGCAAAGCCGAGTATTGTGAGAATGAATTTGGTTATTGACCGAGAATATGGATGATATTCTTTTTGTAAGTATATTTTGAAAAATTGAAAACCAATTAGTGCAGTTTATGGCATTTGAATAAATCAAAAACATTCATGGTTTTTAAACTAAGATTACATCAGGTATAAAGTTATGAAGAAAAAAAAATCCACGTAGGCCCCTGTAGATGTCATAAACTTGAGATAGTTCATGGCATGAGAAGCAGATGCAAGAACCTGTCAATAATGACACAGAATTATAATTAGGCCTACCATCATGTTTGATTTGGTCTCAAATGATTACCGGTAATCTTAAATGTTTTAATTTCAAAACTCCGAGATGTTACAGTTATTTTCTAAAATGAAATTCCGGGCAGTTATGCCGATGTGTAAAGATAACGTGACTGACTGTATATTGTCTGAACCAAGGTATGCATGCATACGCAAGTCAAAGAGGTTTCATCGCACGCACAATGGGCCAGGTAAAATTATTGTGAATAAAAAGTATTTGTGAAAAATGCATGGCCTAATTTAAACAAGTTGCTGGTTGTTATATAAGCTCTTGTGAATAAATAAAATGGATTGAAGTGGATTGAATGTATGGCATGAGAAACTGAATCGTTATTTGTATATCATGATAAGTTGGTCTTCTACGTGCCTTACAGACTTTCGATGCTATAACTCATATGATTATAATCATTATTAAACGATCTTCTCTTTATAGGGCCTATAATTTTATCCGTGAGGCCACATCTCTTCAATATTTCTAACTATATGCTTAGCTTGACTCAACTCTCATAACCTAATTAAGTCATGAGCTTTAATTATAAGTGACCTTTAAATATAATTAGTGCCGTATAATGATCAGGAAATATAAGGTATATGCTAGGCTAATTAAACGTATGGAGAGGCATATTAATATTACATACATGTAATTAACTGCTAAATAATCGATATCATCAAGTTTTGATTATAGGCCTATTGTTTCCATTAGTTTTGTACTGCGATTTGAGATATAATTATGAAGCCTAAGCGCTTTTTATTATGACCTTTGATATAATAATGATAATAATAATAATAATAATAATACTCAGGTCTTTTATAGCGAATAACACATTACAGGATAGCATGTCCCTATGCGCTTTAAATAAAAGGAAAGAATTACAAGAAAAAGTCATACAAATTAGAAAACCCACTTAGAAGCAAAAAAGTGCAAGTAGTGTTGGACGCTGAGTTCATGGGTGTATACTTTTAACATTGAGAAATACGTTTTAAGAGAAACCTTAAACTTGTTAAAATTATTGTGATTTCTCATGGAATCTGGAAGTGAATTCCATAAAACTGAGGAGGCATGCATGTAAAATAATAATGATTTTGAGCTTGATCTTAAAGTACGAGTAGGCCGATATAATGATAAAAGTTCACATAAATAAGAAGGGGCAATGTCATGAAAGCATTCGTATGCAAAAACTAATAGTTTAAGCAAAATACGGGAGTGGACAGGAAGCCAATGTAGATTTCGTAGGACAGAAGTAATTGATATACCGTGTATTAGTGTAATATAAGTTTGTGTCTCTAATTAAGACATCGAGCGTGAATATAATATAGCTAGAATTTATGAATTATTGAATTCGAGTATGTGTATATAATATGACGCTGTATTTAAATCTTACCCATCATATATTTATTGGCAGAGTGTGATGTACTGCCTCTAACTACTTTCAAATATCGCTTGAAACATAAACTTCTACTTCAGTATGAAAATGCGTAAAGTCATCATGATCGAGACCATCGGTATTATCAACACTTGCTGGTTGGCTACACCACACAACCGTTTTTGTTCATCTTTTATTTTTGTTGTTGTTATATATTATGTAACAAAAGGGAACCTTAATTACAAGCTTAATTAATGCATCCAAGGTTTCCTCCTCATTACTGCCGATTATTGTTAGCATCATTTGTATTTTATTACCTGCCATTAAATCGTGTTTTTTTTTTTTTACTGTTGTATCTATTGATTATAATGTACATGTTTTGTTACCTTGTATATGTCTTACTTTGTAAATTCTTTTCATATGCAGTTAATGTGGAAATAAAAAGCAAATGAACGAAATACTGATAAGTAAGTACGTAATAAAATAAGTTTTCAGAGTACTACGTTTGAGAATAAGACAAACGTGTTATATTGCTTGATTTAACTGAGAGGGGGAGGGGGGGGGGGATCTCGGAAATGCTAGACTTGTAGAGCGAGATTCCCAGTACTTAATTAAGTACTAAAACCATCATATTTTTATCCCATTAATTTTCCTTTTTGCCCCCCAAAACTTGATTTCCCATGCCTTTGCTCAGGTTATATGATTTGTATCATATTGCATGCATGACATTTCACAAAATCTGTTATGACCTTTGAAGAATTGATACCACTTTTCTGAATATTGTATATTAATAACCCCCCCCCCCCCCCCCCACTCAGGGGTCGGAATGACCGCATGCGTGTTGCCAAAATGTCCGGTAAAGGGGTACTTTTCGTGCGACAAAGTCCGGCCCGAGAATTGTAAAAAAAGGGGTGTACTCCTGAGAAATTATTCCGAATTTAGGGGGGGGGGGTACATTGAGCATTTTTCCTGATTTAGGGGGGTCTCCAAAGCAGGAAAAGGCCGCGAAAAGCCCGCGAAAGGGGGGTTCGAAAATGTAGGCAGTCCTCAGATAGGGGGTGCTTTAAAAAATAGGGAACGAGCATATTATGCGTACCCTAAATAACACTGAGTGGGGGGCCGGGATTAATAATCATTGCTTTTTATATAAATAGTTTATCAAAATTCACATTTTTCATGATTTAACTGACAAAAAAAGTTACTCATGACATTAGTGCATCCACGCAAAAACATATTACTGCCATTATAACTTGGATGCTGGTGTGAGGAAATAAGATTTTATAGGGGAATATTGGAAATGTATATTATCAATATAAAGAAAGCAATTAGTGGATAATGAGGCAATGTCGTCACAGACTCATGAGTGAGCTTCCAATTTGTCTTGTGATTTACAAAGTTTTTCATGTCATTAGTTTCTTAATATTTATCCGATTTTGATCAAACTAATTGTTGATTGTTTTGTCTGATTTTTCTGCTTCTATTCAAAGTAAGTTATTTTTGGAGTGGAATTCGATCGACCGTGAGTATAACTATTATCTCGGTCGCGCACTGAGAAACCTTTTCAGACTATACGAACGGAAGAGCACCCCGAAAGAAGAAACGTATGTGATATGGTGGCGGCCTTGATGCTGCCAAAGTTGAGCTGCTTGACATACTGGTATGCTTTATTAGATTACTGGCCATAAGTATGATGTGAATGCTTATATCATCACATGCTCAGTAGAACCCAGTCTGCGTGGTACTGTTGCAGCGCGCTGCACTAGCTTACAAGCTTTTGACATGGGGAAGCTAAAGGTTCTAGAAGTTCTTTTTTCTGGCAACCAAGATGTTTACAAGCCTGGGGACACTATCTACGGAGACGTGAGGATAGTTGTAAGCGAAGAAAAGGGAGACATCCGAGGTGAGTATTTAACTATGCATGGTGTTTATATCTACTCCCGGTAAATAGGCGTGGCATCATCAGTCGGAGCCTAAATAGTGCAGGAGAGACCGGGGATGCATGCAGCGGTATAGCGATGCGTTGCGATTATTATAGGCACCGCCTTAATTTTGGTGGGAAGTTTGAAGTCGGGCATTTCGTTCACGCCGGAATCATCCTGCTTCTACAGTTCGTGAATAATAGAAGTGTCATTTTGTCATCAGTTTGCATATCTACCCCCGCCCCAAATTAAGATTTTTTTTTTTTAATTGAAATTAAAATTAACATTTCAATTTAGGCTTCTCCTGACCAAATATGAGAAGAAGAAGAATTCATTACCTGCATGATTATGAAGTGATGGTTGCCCACATATTGGAATATAAAATCTATGAGGGGGGGGGGGGGGGGGGGGCTGGGAGCTGCAGCCCCCATCATGTGTATGGTTGTAAAGATGCTACATGAATTGTTAATATATTTGTGATTAAAATTTATACCTATTATGTTTAGCTTGAACTATTAAAGTTTTAAAGGATGATCGAGACAAAGACCTGTTTCTTGTTTCTATTCCTAAATGTGATATTATATGATAGAGCTGCAAAATTTAATTGTGTTATCATTCAGTAAAGTAAACTCAAGAAGCTGGTTAATGCCAATTGAAACATACATTTTATTTCGTTGACAATTTTCAGGTAGGCCTACATGTTTTGATATAGAGTGCCCATTTTCACTTGTAATAAGTGCCCCTTTTCATCCCATAATTGTCACCTGTTACCTCTTATAAGTGCCTTTTTTTCATCTCATAAGTGTCCCTTAAATCACCTCTAATAAGTGCCCATTTTTCAGCTCATAAGTGTAAATATTTGAATTATATATTCATAAATTGTTGCTCCTGAATATTTGAAAACCGCTCCGGCCGCAAGGTCGCTCAGTAGGGGGGGGGGGCACGTCCCTGTTTTTCATAGATTTTTTGCGAATTTGGGGCTGATTCCAACACTTTTTTTTTTGGTTGGGGGGGGGGCACATGCCCCCTGTGCCCCCCTGGATCCATCACTGTTTACTTGATTGTTCAGTTAAAGTAAAAATGTAAAATTTGATTGCTTGAAAGTCCTTTTTATTAATTATTTATTTATTTATTTATTCATTAATTGGAGTACCAAAGGTTCAATTTCAAATTCAAACAAAAATATACATATCGGTGGTAAGTTATGGTGGTAAATAGTAAAGAATGGTGTTACTATATAGCATCCATTGAAAATTATAGCACTTTTGATCAATAGTAGCCTTGCATATTAGAAATTCTCCTCTTCACATATATTTCAATAGGTATCCAAATAAAATGTGTTGGGAAATCTTATACACATTGGACAGAAACAGAGGGAAGTGGAGATGATCAACGAACCGTGAACTACACTACTTCACATAAATACTTCAAACAGGAAGTCACGCTTAGTGGTGCAGGTAAGTTTTTTTTGTAGGAAATAGTCAACCATTAAGGAAGAGGATTTCCGGTTGGGCTTTATTAATTGGTCTATTCCTCTTCAAATTAATATGCAATGTTGCTATTTTTCCCCTTGAGTTACATTTTACAGGCTAAGCTCAACCTTTATGAATACATTTTCCACCCAGCCGAAATATATTACTAAATGAATATCTTTAGCACTTTTTTTCACAAAAAAGACAACATGGTCATCTTTTTTTAGAAAATCTTGATAATGGCATAGTTCTCTAATTTCATTTAGGTCTACTTGCCCCTGTAAAGAAATCTTAATTATAAAATATCTTGAATGATTTAAGATCCATTTTATGTTGATATTGATAAATTACAGGTTTTATATATTCACTTTCAAGAATAGTACATGTATATAGTTGTCAGTTCATCCATCATTCAAGTCAGAAATAAACAATTTGTAAATTCATACTGGTAACAACTGTTTTCAGACAAATTTTCAGCAGCGTTGTGAATATCCAACCTTGGTTATAACTATTTTCATACATTGAGGCAATTACTCATAAAGTATATTTGTAAAGGTTGATATACCCATGTAGTTTAATTTATTGTAAATCACAAATAAACAGTGTTACTGGATGCTTTTTTTTCTTTCTCCAGGAAAGGGTGAAAAGAATGCAGACCGAATCAAACTGCCTGCTGGAGAGCATAGATTTCCATTCCAGTTTCAGATCCCTAGCATGTCTTTACCAGCACCCTTTGAAGGTCAATATGGACATGTGAGGTACTACGTCAAGATTTGCATCGACCGACCATGGAAGTTTGACCATCACGCCAAGAGGCTATTTAGTATCTTTACTGTCAAAGATCTCAATTATGAACACAATGTTTTGGTAAGCCTCTGCTCTAATATTCCACTTCCTTAAAACAATACTTTATAAGATGGCTTGACATTCCGAATGCCCCCTTTTAGTATTTATCAAAGTACTTTGGGCTGATGATGGATCACAAAAGAGTGATCTTTCATTTGTACAATTTATTTTTTATGCACGTAAAAACCAAGGATTTAATAGCATGTACAGATCACTGCACCATAACACAAAATAGCTGGTGAAAATGGATATGGCAAGGGGTATATTACTCACTCTTTGCAATTCAGTTTGTTTTTAGAGGTATTTTACAGCAAAATGTCCTAATAATTGATATGCAGGATACGTATGTAAAACGAACACTGCATTAGTTATCCTTCAGTTTTGGGTCTTGAGAATACTTCCTTCTCTTTTTCTCGATCCTTTCTTTTTTCTCTTTTTTGAATTATATGCACCCCTTCAAGTGCTGCCCAGGGTAGGTTACCCATCGATCTGCCCCCCCCCCCCAATGCAGTTATGCCACCGGGGCCTGTTGTGCTTTAAACATACTTATAGACAAGATAGGGTGTACCTCCCAAGATAACTTAATTCATGTACATCTCTGTTATATTGGTTGATAGGTTCCTCCAAGTCACCAAATTGAGAAGACAGTGTGTTGTCTCTGCTGTGCATCAGGACCAATTGTTGTGCATGGACTCCTAGACAAGAGAGGTTATGTACCAGGGGAACACATATTTGTTTCATTAGATCTTCAAAACAATAGTTCTCGAACAATTGTTGACATCACAGTGAAGCTACAACAAGTAAGTCCAATCTTAGGGCAAGGTTACTTTGACTTTAAATGCTTTGTGCTTTCATATTATATATAACCAATAAGAAATTTAATGCTGTTCGCATCTTGTTCAGCCAATAGAATCACTCTCTGCCGACAGTTCTGAGGCAAAAACAGCGTAAATGTGTAATTGTTTTGTTTGTTAAACTACATTTGCATTAAAGCACCTATGCTTGGATATAATTGTTGAGTTCCTCTGGTTTCTGTGCACTCTCATTAGCATCTGTCATCATGGCCAGTAAGAAAGCCATGCGTATTGTCAAAACACCACAAAAGCATAACAAAGTATAGAGATTTAATCGGCAATTATTGTTTTATTTCACTTGTATATCTTCCTTTTTTCAGCTTTACCTTCCATTCTAGATGTTTGAAAGACACCTCATAGAATGATTGATCCATGTTTTGTGTTTGTTGTTCATAGACCGCTCATTTTACTGCATCCTACTGTGGTAGGACACACCACAGAGAGGAAACTAAGAAGATAACTGAGCTAAAGCTAGATGGATGTGAAGCCATGGGGTCAATGAACTATGATAGGATGAAGATGTTGATCCCTCCTATTCCTCCTTGCACATATGACAACTGTCCAAACATCAAACTAGAGTATTGCGTCAAGGTAAGAAAGCATGTTATTAAAGGTACTATGTCCCATTTGCAGGCCAAAAAAAAAGGAAAAAGTAAAATTCCAACTGCATTTGAAAGATAATACTAATTTAGAACTTCCCTAAAAAAGGTGGGGCTTGAAAATGTCTTCAAGTGGGAAAATAACGACTATTAGTTGTCAAATCGACTTTACGGCTATAGACCCCATAAATAATAGTCTTGATTTTCAGACAATTGTACCGAATGGTCATACGTTTTATGCTGCGCAAAGATTCAATCAGTTTAATCTTTGCCATCACAAGAAGTGGGTTATTGATGTAGACAAATGCTCATGTACCCTTTACAACTCTTTTCATGTATGTTATTACCAAAGAAGAAAAAAAGCCAGTCAGTCACTCAATAGTGTCTGACAGTGAAGTCTAACAAGTAAACAGGTTTCCTTGCATAATTTGAATATGAGGACACCGCTAACGTTTAAATTTCACAGATAGGACATACATGACATATTCATAATTCCTGCAAAGTTTTACAGAATTTGAGGTTGGCTGCAAAAGGGACATAGTACCTTTAAGTCAGGGCAGTTCAATCATTGAAATTTATGGGAAGTGATCTTCAAAATTGAATTATTGGTAAATGCTCTTAACATAATTATTGCCTTGTTTTGTTTTGCATAATACTGATCCAGTTTTTGAGGGAAGAGTATTTATGCTGTAACATCTTTTTTGCTCTGGGTCTTATGCTTCACTAAAGGGCTTTTGGAACGTTGTGACTTATTCAAAAATATATCTTTCTTGGGGTTCTAAGACCCATGTTACACATACGTCTGAAAGTGGACTGAGGCTGGCCCTGGAGGCGGCTCGACGTATGTGTAACATCAACTTTTTTTGAGGAGCCGGACTGAGGCCAGGTGGACTCAGTCCACCTCTGGATGTGAGTTGAGGCCAGCTTGAGTCTGGACTCAGTCCCACAATCAGTAGGTGTAACACCAAAGTGGACTCGGGGCCGGCTTATAAGTGGAAGTGACGTGACCTGTCATCATATATCAACATAATACATCGGGCGTGCTTTGCCACCTTCTCTTATGTTTTTCTTTGTTTTTATCATTCTATCACTTTCTCTTGCTGTCTTTCCTTATGTTATTCGTTGTTTCTTCCTTCTATCATGCTCTTATGTTATTCTCTGTTTTTATCATTCTATCACTTTCTCTTTCTGTCTTTCCTTATGTAACTCTTTGTCTCTTCCTTCTATCACCTTCTCTTATGTTATTCTTTGTTTTATAATTATATTCCTTTCTCTTTCTGTCTTTCCTTATGTTATTCTTTGTTTCTTCCTTCTATCACCTTCTCTTTATGTCTTTCCTTGTGTTATTCTTTGTTTCTTCCTTCTATCACTTTCTCTTTCTGTCTTTCCCTATGTTATTCTTTGTTTTATCATTCTATCACTTTCTCTTCATGTCTTTCCTTTTGTTATTCGTTGTTTCTTCCTTCTATCACCTTCTCATATGTTATTCTTTGTTTTTATCATTCTATCACTTTCTCTTTCTGTCTTTCCTTATGTAACTCTTTGTTTCTTCCTTCTATCACCTTCTCTTATGTTATTCTTTGTTTTTATAATTCTATTCCTTTCTCTTTCTGTCTTTCCTTATGTTATTCTTTGTTTTTATCAATCTATCACTTTCTCTTTATGTCTTTCCTTGTGTTATTCTTTGTTTTTATCATTCTATCACCTTCTCTTATGTTATTCTTTGTTTTTATAATTCTATCACTTTCTCTTTATGTCTTTCATTGTGTTATTCTTTGTTTTTATCATTCTATCACTTTCTCTTTATGTCTTTCCTTGTGTTATTCTTTGTTTTTATCATTCTATCACCTTCTCTTATGTTATTCTTTGTTTTTATAATTCTATCACTTTCTCTTTATGTCTTTCCTTGTGTTATTCTTTGTTTTTTATCATTCTATCACTTTCTCTTTATGTCTTTCCTTGTGTTATTCTTTGTTTTTATCATTCTATCACTTTCTTTTCCTGTCTTTCCTTTTGTCATTCGTTGTTTCTTCCTTCTATCTCCTTCTCTTATGTTATTCTTTGTTTTTATCATTCTATCACTTTCTCTTTCTGTCTTTCCTTATGTAACTCTTTGTTTCTTCCTTCTATCACCTTCTCTTATGTTATTCTTTGTTTTTATCATTCTATCACTTTCTCTTTATGTCTTTCCTTGTGTTATTCTTTGTTGTTATCATTCTATCACTGTCTCTTTATGTCTTTCCTTGTGTTATTCTTTGTTTCTTCCTTCTATCACTTTCTCTTTCTGTCTTTCCCTATGTTATACTTTGTTTTTATCATTCTATCACTTTCTCTTCCTGTCTTTCCTTTTGTTATTCATTGTTTCTTCCTTCTATCACCTTCTCTTATGTTATTCTTTGTTTTTATCATTCTATCACTTTCTCTTTCTGTCTTTCCTTATGTTATTCTTTGTTTTTATCAATCTATCACTTTCTCTTTATGTCTTTCCTTGTGTTATTCTTTGTTTTTATCATTCTATCACCTTCTCTTATGTTATTCTTTGTTTTTATAATTCTATCACTTTCCCTTTATGTCTTTCCTTGTGTTATTCTTTGTTTTTATCATTCTATCACTTTCTCTTTATGTCTTTCCTTGTGTTATTCTTTGTTTTTATCATTCTATCACCTTCTCTTATGCTATTCTTTGTTTTTATAATTCTATCCCTTTATCTTTCTGTCTTTCCTTATGTTATTCTTTGTTTTTATCATTCTATCACTTTCTCTTTCTGTCATTCCTGTTATTCTGTTAGCCCCTAAGACAACTACCACCCGGACAACCACCCCAGAACAACTACCCCCAGACCAATACCCCCTACGACGAGCATCCTCTAGGACAACTGATACCCCGGACAACTATCCTAGGGGGTACTTGTCCGGGGGAGGGGGGAGGGGGGGGGGGGGGGTAGTTGTCCGGGAGGAAGTTGTCCTAGAGGATTGTTGCCCTAGGGGGTAGTTGTCCTAGGGGGTAGTTGTCCTAGGGGATAGTTGACTGGGGGTGGTTATCCGGGAGGTGGATGTCCAGGGAGGAAGTTGTCCTAGGGGATAGTTGTCCGGGGGAGTAGTCATCCTAGAGGATGGATGCCCTAGGGGGTAGTTGTCCTAGGGGGTAGTTGTCCTAGGGGTAGATGACTGGGGGTGGTTATCCGGGAGGTGGATGTCCAGGGGGGTGGATGTCCAGGGGGTAGGTGTCCGGATACGCTTTCTTTGTGGTTGAATTGTGTATCAGTTTAAAGGGATTAATATTAGTGTGTTAAGATCAATTCACCCTTCTCCTTGATCAAATACCTAACCTAGGCAAGTCCAAATAAGAAGTGCACATGCACTGAAATCATACCCACAATTTCTGACCAAAGTAATGAATGGAAATCTGTGTGTTATACAAAAAGTTGTGTAGCTGTAGAGCTATTTGAGTTGAAATAAGGGTGATCATATATTTGCTCTTTGATAGGCTTTATTACTACTAAGATGTAGAGTAAGAGAGTTATGGGTGCATATTGGGTTTTTAGGATAACTTTATGGTAAGTGTTGATAGTTAAGTAAAGTGTTGAATATACAGACAGGAATGGGACCATGCATGCAGCGCAGCAATGGCTGGAGGAAGTGTTGTTCTTTCAAAATAAGTTCTTTCTATATCTCTGTGTAAGCATGTTTAAAATTGTTTGATAAACGTTATCTCATCAGATTGAGGCCGATATTTCTGGAACCCCTATGGATGCTACAATGAAGCATCCTGTCGTGATCGGTACTATTCCAGCCTTCCAGCACACTTTAAGGGATCCCTCTCAAGCTCCTCAAGGCATAGCAGCATATGCTCCATATGCAGGACAACCTATATCAGTTTACCCTCCAGCAGGGCAGCCTGGGTACCCCCCAACGGGGCCGCCGGGATACCCTCCAACAGGACAACCTGCGTACCCCCCTGCAGGTCAACCTGGCTACCCTCCAGCAGAGCAGCCGGGGTACCCCCCTGCAGGTCAACCTGGCTACCCCCCAGCAGAGCCACCAGGATACCCCCCAGCAGGGCAACCTGCGTACCCCCCAGCAGGTCCGACAACTGACCCAAGTAAGTTGATTTAGAAGTGAGAACCTTGTATATTTTCCTGTTTACCAGCAAATGGACATGGAATTCTTTTGAGCGTTACACTGCATGAGAGTGAAATATTTGGATGCTTATCTTTTTTGTGATTCCTTGAGTGGAGGAAGACATTTTAGCCATTTACAATTAATCAATTAACTTTTATTCAAGGTTATTTTGTGTGTATGGCTAGCATTGATAGGTCCACTTCTAAATAATAGGAATGCGTTAAAGAAGAAGAAGTTGTTACCAAGAGACTCGTTGATATGTGAATGAATCCCCTGAGAAGAGTCTCTGCAAGCTGAACCCAAGCCCTTTGAAAGTGCTTAGAGACATTATATCATAATGTGATATGGGCTAAACAAGAATGACTTATTATTATTATATGGCAAAAGATCGATATTCTATACTGATTCAGTCCAAAAGATACCATAAACAGAATATTTCAAATTATTTTGATGATCTCTTTGTAACATCCATGTAGTATAAGAGATAATATGATATTGCTTTGACCAAAAGTAAATGAAATGATGTGCCAAGGAATGTGCCACAACTATGAAATATTTCACTTTAAAACCGGAAAGCAGAAGAAGAAGGAGACGAAAACCATTAAAGCATACCATTGTATGCTTCAATGGTAATGAAATCATACATCTTTGCAAAGCAGTGACCAACACACACCCACACCCATACATATGTACTTTTTGAAATAGAATGGAGCAGTAGACAAATCCTTCTAATTTGACCATAAATTTGTGCTTCCAGCTGCAGGCTTGCCACCCCCTCCCTCATATGCATCAGCGGTAGGAGGACCTCAAGAGATAGCTGGTAAGAAAGGAGCCTTTGGTACTGTCATGTATGCACCACAATACCCTTACTATGATCCAGATACTCTGTATGCTGCCATGGGAATCCCACAAGGTGTACCGTCAGCGGATGGAGGGCTTCAACCACCACCCACCACCACACAGCCACAAAGCATCCAACAACCTCCATATAATCCTTACCCAGACGAACAGAAAGATGAATGACATTATTTTGAATTCAATATTACCTAACAGTGAAGAGGATGAAAAATAAAATGCTGCATTAATACACATATATGACATAATTATCTGATACTACTAGTCTTACAGAAAAGAAATCTAATAATGAATATTGAAAGTAATTTCAAACATCCGTAGACCACTGGAAGGTATTTCTTTCAGAATATGTTCTAATTATTACTGCATGGTAATTAGACATTGTATTTTCATGGAGATAATTTGAAGGTATGTTATTATTTATATAGGTCAACAATTGTGTAGACAATGATTCGCTTTAGAAGGCTGTGCATTGAGATGAAAGGATAGATAAGTCAGCTTTTACATGGATAATAGTTGAAAGTCACAAATTCTTTGTGCAGAACTGCATCTTGCATGCACATGAAAACTTGAATTGTCTGTACCAGTTCCCCCCAAAAAGAAATCAATGTTCAAGGTTTGCCCTCACTGGAAGAAAGATTTAATTTTGAGCTACTTCTAAGCTTCAACCCTCCGAGCTACTTTCTTTGCCTTGTAGTAAAATTGTAATATAGATTTTTTTTCTCTTTCTTTTGAGCTACTTTCAGGTGCTAACAGGTGCTGTTTCAGGAGTGATTTTCTGAAAAATGCTTTGGAATAAAGAAACATGTTACTCTTACTTTTATAATATCCACTAGTATTGTTATCAAGTCCAGTATAGAGTCCACCTGGAGTAACTAGCTCAGACTTGATTTGAAGTCAAACTGTAAAAACAAATGGCATGGTTTTGTTATAGGCTGTGGACTCGTAGCTTGTCTTCCAGGCTAACTAACACTGATATATCAACACATCAAAAGTACATTGGGCTTTCACTGTTTAGATAAAAAGAAATTATGCATACAAATCCTGAGGTGTTGATTCATATTCAAAGGGGTGATGGATGATTGTTAAAAACAAAACGTATTTGCAGACAGTCAAGAATATTTTCAACAAGATATATTATATTATATGCTCTAAAAATAGGTACAAAAATGCTTTGAATATAATCCTATTTTTGGCTTATCACTATTTCGTGAAATTTGCCTTCTTATAGAAGTCACAGCCTCCTCTTTGACTAAATGAGTCTTTTTCTTGAAATTCTTTGCTCTTTAAAAAGTACCTTTAGTTTTTAAAATCCGTGAACATTTAGGTATTTGCGAACATCTCTGAAAATACCCTTTTTGTGAAATTTGTAAATATCTTGCTTGCACTAAGTCAATGAAGCGACAACCAGGGTTTAAATAGATGCAATAACGTCTATAATATTTATCTAGAAAATGTTATGAAAATGTCAGAAACCGTCTCCATCCCAAGTCCTTTTATGACCTTGTTCTTATTACCAATAAAAGCTTAAGGCTGTGTGGAATCAGGCAGGAAGAGCTCTCTTATATAAACTACGATATTAGAAGAAGAAAAAAAGTCACTTGAATACTCGTGGAATCCAGTGAAACTGGATTCACTTGAATAAAGAATTAATGTGTTCTGCCTTTTTCATTGAAGTAATACAGATATTTACCTTTATTTGAGTTTTTATATCAGGGTTGATTGTCTTTTATTTTTGTCTTCATCAAGAATTACCTGTGTACATGTATTTTGAAAAATGTTCCATCTTTTTGTACCAATTTTTTTAAAATATTTATTTGCCTACCATATACCTGCTTGTAGGCCTACTTCCCAAAAGGTACTCATTTTATGTATGAATAAAATCCATATTAATAATATATTGATGTGAATTATTGCATTGGTGCTTTTTTAAGAATCTTTAGGTTATTGTGGTAGATTTCTTTTAAAGAGGGAACTTTATAATTCATTAATTCCAATTCTAAATTTGTAGAATAATCAACATAATTATTGGTTGGAGTATTAACTGATCCGATGTTTCATTGTAAGACATGAAACGGGAGAACTTAAAAGCAGACTTGAAATGTGTCTAATAGTGGATATCAAGATTAAATGAATGTCAGATTAAAAGGCTGATAAAGTAGCTAGTAGTGCATATTTTGTAGGTGGGGAGGGAGGGAGGGGGACGGGGGTGGAAGGGGTCAGAACATTTCTAAAATGTGGGCAGGTCCAGGGTATTTCTCAAAATATGATCCTTTAGAGATAGGCATATACACTCAGCTACAAAGGCTGACAGGTTACCGTTTGATGAGTTACCAAAACAGACACTAGATTTCTATCTCTCTTTTTACATTTGAACCATGTCTGTGTACATGTACATTACTCCTCCAAATCATTTTTGGAGCATACATTTTTGATTGGTCATCTAAATATGAGCAAGCATGAAACTTGCCAGCTAGGTATGTTCATGTATATATGTCCACTTGTTCACTCCCTTTACAGACTTGTATCTTCCATCTCTATCTTGATTCATCTCTATCTTGATTCATCTCTATCTTGATTCATCTCTATCTTGATTCATCTCTATCTTGATTCATCTCTATCTTGATTCATCTCTATCTTGATTCATCTCTATCTTGATTCATCTCTATCTTGATTCATCTCTATCTTGATTCATCTCTATCTTGATTCATCTCTATCTTGATTCATCTCTATCTTGATCCATCTCTATCTTGATTCATCTCTATCTTGATTCATCTCTATCTTGATTCATCTCTATCTTGATTCATCTCTATCTTGATTCATCTCTATCTTGATCCATCTCTATCTTGATTCATCTCTATCTTGATTCATCTCTATCTTGATTCATCTCTATCTTGATTCATCTCTATCTTTCTTGGTTTCTCGGTTTATCTTAACCCTGTCGAAAGAATTTGTGGTGTAACTGCAAACCTCGCTCAAATCTATCATCACCATGGACGCCTTTAAAGATTACATCATCCTAAATACTCAACATTTTGTATTTTGTGATGTGAAATAGTGTAAGCTGTAATGGAAGAAAGCTGGGGCACAAGAAGAGGAATTCAATTTTGTCCTAGAAATGAATAGAACTAAGACATGACCTGCAGAGCATGTGACCTTGATAACTAGATCTCTGAAAAACACATACTGAATCATGTAATTTGCTGCTACTAGGGTGTGAAATATAATCTAAATTACATGTACATAAAAGAATGAACAAACTATTCAACCATCATCTTGCCTATGTTCATTTTATTCAAGATCATCACATCAAGTACTTTGATCACTATTAGCCCAGACAAAATTGCAAGTTACACCCCCCCCCCCCCTCCGCATGAAAAAAAGAAATAAAAAAAAATGCTACAAACATGTATTCCAGTACAGCTCCCTCAACAACATACATGTACTAATAATTTAGAATAAACTATGAAGAGGAAATCAGTATAGTTCATATAATACCATCTGCCATAAGAAAAATGCCTACAGATATTTCCATATAAATTTGCATCTAATCCCCCAAAAGAAACGGTACTTGTGCTGATAAAATTATGAGACTGATATAAATGTGACTTGGCTGGCATGTCGGATGGCTGGCATGTCGGATGGCTGGCATGTCGGATAACTGTCAAATAAGTTAAGATGTCAGCATGGGCCATTGTTGGAGGGGCTGTCTAGTGCGACTGCCCTCAATCAATCAAAATTGTCATTACATAGTTGAGGACCCATTATTAGCTTATCAAGTATATGGATGGCTTGATGATTTTGTGCATTGGCTTGTGCACTGATTGCTCACACATCCATATGACATGCCCTAACTTCCATTAAGGTTTGGTCCAATTTTATTTTTTAATGAAATAAGTAAAGCTACATAAATATTGCGCACAGACACCTTTACAATATTCTGAATTTTGGCTGTGTACAGCTATCAAATATTACAGAATGGCGTATTCAAGCTGCATAAAATAAATCAAATACCTGTACAACTTTTACAACACTGTCCAAACTTCAGCAATAGATTGTTTTTCACTTTCTTTCTTTCATGTTCTCTCTGCCAGTGCTTTAAAACATTTCAGAACTATTCAGCCTTTGTCCATCTATGTAACACACATAATTAATTTGATAACATTCAAGATGATGATACAAATTTTACTCATTTTACTCATTACTCACAGACATATTGTACTAGTACACACACCTGACTAATACATATTATACAGATATTACACTGAAGCATGTTTACTTTACTAATACACATATTTCACTCATGTATATATTCTTACATTTTCAACATTTGGTCAATATGACCTCCAGGATGGCTGAAGGCCCATAAGACCAAATGCCCATAAGACCAAATGCCCATAAGACCAAATGCCCATAAGACTTATGGGCATTGAATTGAATTGATTTTTATATTGCAAAATAAAATTGAATTGAATAAGACCAAATGCCCATAAGACCAAATGCCTATAAGACCAAATGCCCATAAGACCAAATGCCCATGAGACCAAAGACCCATAAGACCAAATGCCCATAAGACCAAATGCCCATGAGACCAAATGCCCATGAGACCAAATGCCCATGAGACCAAATGCCCATGAGACCAAATGCCCATGAGACCAAATGCCCATAAGACCAAATGCCCATAAGACCAAAGACTCATTAGACCAAAGACCCATAAGACCAAAGGCCCAAAAGACCAAAGGCCCATAAGACCAAAGGCCCATAAGACCAAAAGCCAACAAGACCAAACCACATTGGGTTCCATAACTTCAAATAGTATGAACACTGAATATGAAACTGAGTAAACATTTCACTCTATATTATTTTAGTCTTTCTTTTCCCTTTTGTCAATTCACTCACTTCACTGTCAAAAGGAAATAGATATAAAAATTAAAATGTGCCAGGGCAACATTTCCTTTAAAAATGCAGCCTTCCTGTCATGGAAACACAAACACAAAAATTCCACCAAGTATAGGGATCAATCATTGTGAATGTATTGCATTGCTGTGACTGACTGATGCTCTCAAAGACACATCAACAAAATATATTCCCATGAAAAGATTTCTTATGAAAGCATATAAAATCTGCAATGTGATCCACGATAAAATAAATGCATACAAATGGTATAACTTGATAAACAACAATCAAGTAACATACAAATAATTTGCATAATGAATGCAAAATTATGAATATCAGTTATTTACTCTTCATTTTTGCTTGTAGCAAAAGTAGTAAAAATAATTTTTCAATATACGTTTAGATTGTAGGGCTACAACAATAATAAAGTTCATATCCGATATATACATATGAAGTAAAAGATATATTTCGCTAAACTTAAGATCATCCTTAAGTTAGTGTTATCACTAATGTTAGTTCATAAGATGAATCAAAGTTGGTCAAGTGGAGTCTAGCCCCTGGAACTAATAAGGCAAAATAAAAACATCAACATTAGTACTGTACGTAATATTATCCAGCCTCAGAGGTGCAATTTGTAATTGCTTGTTGTTATTCTTGAGGTAACTAATCTTGACAATATGATATCATGTATTTATGATTGGCTAAAGAATTAATCTTATTACATTTGAAACATACTCTCACTTCACTGGGCAGTAATCGGGCTTAATGCAATAGAACTCCATTAATAAATAGATATTTGATATGAATTAATAATGTTATTCCAGGTAAATGTCAATTCTGAAATACAATGATTGGCAAGAACAAGACAATAAATTACAAAATCTGAATTTGATCTTTTATTTTATACTGTCATATCCCATGCTCTCTTTCCACATGATCAAATAGTTATCTAAGTTAAAATTGAAATTCAAATTTTCTTACTCATTTTATCTGTTTAAATTAAAAATAGATAAATAATGCAACAAAATATTTCATACAAATTAGTGTGGATAATACCAATAATTAAACCACACAAATATGATGCATGGTTGGATTATACGGCAGTTACAACAAAAAAAATCTACAAAAAAAACAACAACATACAAATAGCCTGAAATGTAATGGATCAATGCCTACAACAGTAGAAAAGCAATAGGGTACAAGCTTTATAGACAGTGAATATAATGAAAAACTATGCTGTATGCAAAATAAGGTAGATGAAAGCAAGGGATATATGTGGATGTTGACTGGCAAGAAGGAGAAAGACAGAAGGTAATGAGAGAGACAACTGAGGAGAGTAAGAAAGAGAGAGGGAGTGAGTAGGAGGCAGCCGGTGACAGAGTGCAATATTCATATCAAACAAACAGTGATAAGAGAAGTATAAAAGATCATGTTATAACCAAAGTGGCCGTATCTTCATTTTTAACATATATATTAACTGTACCAAGAATGATAAACATGATTAAAAGAGAACTTCAAAATAACATTTTCAAAGTGCTCTAAGGTTATTGTACTGGTCAATGGATTCATATATACACACATTGTGTGCACCATCTCTCACCCCAGGAGAGCACTCTGGCCATACAATGGTCAGAAGGGTTCATGGCAAAGGAATACAAAGGAGTGGCAGGAGAAATGAGGTCTATGGATTAAACTTCAAGCTTTACTTCTTCCGTGTGTGTTGGATGCTGGCTGAACTGAGGCTGTGACATGATGGGTCCACCACTCGTATCTTGAGACGGAATAGGAGGAGAGATTGATCCAGGGTTGTAGTAGGGGTACCTCGGTGCATAACTGGTGGTCCCAAAGCTTCCTTTTTTACCTTCTATCTGTATTGGTCCTTCCGCTGCCATCTCATAGCTTGGAGGAGGCAAGGCTATCAAAACAAACAACATTGACACGGCTCAGAGTACAGTTGTCATCCTAACTAACAAATTATGACATAACCCCCAACTTATATGCTTGTATTATTTCATCACCTCAAAATATACTTCTTTGGTGAAATTATTGATTTATGGCAAGATTTAAGAAGTTATAAGTTTGATTTACAATCAATAATACTGAAAATAGGTGAAGAGATCATTTCCTAAAAAGTACACTTGTGAACAAAGAATTAAAGGTATAGACCAGTTTTAGAAATGCCCCCCTCTCAAAAAATGAAATAGAAGATATTATTACCAATCATGTGAAAGAATATGTTTTGACTACAATATTGTGTTTCACATAGGTGGCCTTAATAGACAGGCTTGACTGTATAACAAAGACAAAGCAAAAGAATTCCATATTTATATCCACCAAGCCTAATAGCTAGACTAGACAGAGCTTCAGAGCTTGTTCTATACTCCATACAAGTGAATGCCTATTATTGAAAGCTTGTTGATAGTTACCTGGAAGCTGAGCTGGGTACTGAGCTGCACCTTGACCAGCAGGTGGTGGGCCTGGAGGGTACCCAGACTGGCCCTGAGGTGGTGGGTAACCAGCTTGGGGTGGTGGACCTCCAGCTGGTTGGGGTGGGTAGCCAGGCTGAGGTGGGTAGCCAGGTTGAGGGGCGTAGCCCGGTTGAGGAGGGTAGCCCTGCTGGGGCGGGTAGCCAGGCTGCTGGGGTGGATAGCCAGCTTGGGGCGGGTAGCCAGGTTGGGCTTGATGAGTGGCTTGTTGAACTAGGTGAGGCAAGGCAGGTATAGTGCCGATGAATATAGGTAGGTCAATCGTTGCATCGATGGGTGTACCAGAAACATCTGCTTCAATCTGTCATTTTGATAACAAAATCAATCTTAGTATCTGAAATACATACTTCTGCTTTTACAATGGTAAAAAAAAAAGTGTACCATAAACATCTACATATACAGTCAAACCTGTCTATAGCGACCACCCAAGGGAAACACAAAGAGTGGTCTTTGTAGACAGGTGGTCTTTGTAGACAGGTTCCTTTAGTACATGTTTCAATGAGAAACCATTTTCAAGGGGAACAAATAATGTGGCCTTTGTAGACATGTGGTCATTAAAGCAGGCTTGACTGTAGTTTGTTTGGAGCCAGAAGGGTGTTAACTCATACACTTTAACACATAGTTAATGTCCTTCTGGCTCCCAGCAGACAATATAAACCTTTACCTATGATACGTTAGGGTTCAGGGTTATAACACTAGGTATGGATACTTAATTACTCTTCCAGATGTCTTCATATTCAAATGTACCATTAGGAGCCACAGCATATGACACTGAGTTCCTATAGGAAATATTTTTATTCAGATGGTCCTATCTCAGCCAATACTTCACAGCTTCGGTACTCTATGACCTTTGACCTTATGACCCCCAAAATCTAATCAGTTCATCGGCTCTGCAAGATACATACATCACTTAAGTTTGGCGGTAATCCATCAATCGGTTCTTGAGATAACGCGATCACGAGCTGTTTTTGCATACATAAAGAGCCTTGTGACCTTTGACCTTGTGTCCCAAAAATCTAATCAGTTCATTGGCTCTGTAAGATACATACACGACTTGAGTCTAGTAGGAATCTATAAAACGGTTCTTGAGCTAACGCGATTACGAGAACAGGACGTACAGACGGATAACCTGAAAACATTTTGCCTCCAGCTACTTTGTAGCACAGGCATAAAAAAAAGATGCCAGCCACATTGAAGTAAACAAACAAAACAGAAAATAAATAAATAAATACATAAATTATAAAAAGTAAAAAATAAATAAATTATCTCACTGTAGGTACTGTGTTCCCTGTAACCAAACGATATGAAGCAGAAATGGCATTACACCAGTTGGTATTTTGAAACCACAGTAAACAGGAAGAAATATGTCCTGATATTTGAACAGCGGTCACACCTGTTAATGTATTACATGTACCGGTAGTTGAATTCTTCTGGCTGTCATAAAAATTTGGTGTTTGCTAATTTATGAGTTTCCCTTCTCCAAATTAAAAAAAAATTTCATGCAGTGTGAAGTTACATACATGAAAAACTGATCTTTTTTTCCTTCTACACTTGGGGCCTGTTCCTAGAAACCGTCATAAGTCTAACTTCTTGACTATCCCATTGAAGCACGTGTTAATTCTATAACACACGTTTCAATGGGATAGTCAAGAAGTTAGACTTATGACGGTTTCTAGGAACGGGCCCCTGTTGGCTAAGAGTTAATTTGAAAACATACAATTCCTTTACAAACCATGAATTGTTTAGTGGTATGCATTTAATAACAGTATGACACACTTACCACCACTTTATACATGACTTCAATGTTGGGACAGTTCTCAAAGGACATCGGAGCAATCGGTGGAATAGCCAACGGTTTCCTCTCAAAGATCATAGATTCCTGAGCGTTGAAGTCTTCAAGTTCAATCTCACAAATCTTCTTTGTGTTTTTACGTGTGTGAGTGCTTGATCCATGTTTGGCATGGTAAATTGATTTCTGCAGTAATATAAAACATGTAATATAAAACAAGTAATAATTTTGTCATACAGATTATGTTTACTTTTAAAAATTTAATTACACATTGATTTTTTCTTATTAATATTTAATTGGTTTTGCTTGTCATGACTGGTGGGTAGTCTGCAAGCACAAACCCTGGTCAGTCGTAAAAGAGAGTCTGCAATATAAGACTACCATAGGACATGTATAGCTGCTCCTGACATAACCAGTAGGTAGCTGGGCTAGGCTTCTCTCAAGGCACAATGATTGTTTGATAAAGTGTCAAATTAGGGTCTGTGCTTGCAGACTAACTGGTGGGCATGACTGTGTGTGTCTTGTATGTATGTGTTGTTGAATAATGTGCAAAGGTGAATAATGTGCAAATGCTGTATGTTTTGATTTCAGGTATTATTGTACGGTTTTATAATTCTATTAATTAAAAGTGTTCTGATTTTCTATCAAATTGTTTATTATCATTATGTAAAAACTGGAACCCTGCCATCCTACCATGTTATATTATGATTTTTATTGCTGTTACTTGCCCACTTGTGTTCACATTGTTTTAAAATGGAAAATAAATGAAGTGAATTGAAATGAAATTAGATTGACTGTACATCAACTTTTGACTAACCTGAAACAGAGCAGCCTTGAGGGAGACTAATTCTCTACCACATTGATTGTTGAGCTCCACGGTAACAAGGATGTTCTCTCCCGGGACATAGCCACCTTTATCAATGGATCCTCGCACACTAATTGGTCCAGATTCACAGCATAAACAACAAACAGTCTTCTCAGTGATCCCAGTTGGCATTGTCTGAAACAAACAAAAACATTCAAATTAATACAATGATTTATCAAATCATATGTTTCTGTTTCTTTAAAAAGTTCCCTTTTACAACCTTGTGAACACTAAGCCTGATGCAACAGAGTCCATTGGAAAAGCTTGTTTTTTTTAATCAAAATCAATGATTATAAGGGGGCCATTCTTCTTTTTGAGTCACTACACAAGCCTGGTCCAGTGGAGAACACAGGATCTGGCCTTGGTATTGAACCCTATAAGACTTTGGGGTTACAGGGTTCTGGGAGGAGGGGGGAGGGGGGGGGGCAGACTGAAAGGTGTTCCATCGTCTGTTCCTCCCCACAGTCAAACATAGTTCCTTCATCTTTACTATAGCCCCATGCATGCATCCTGCTGTTCCAGTCCAAAGGCGATTTAAACAGGACCAGGGGGGACATGCCTCACTTGAACCTGATGGCAGGTATTCGTAGGGTTCCAAGGAAAGCTTGTGCGGCACTGACTTATTGAAGGTGATTGATTCCTTGAGACATCCTTTGATTGTTTGATTGCAGTTATCAAAGGCTTTATAGAGTGGAGAAAACTGTGTCTTGATATGAGTATAAGGGGGCCCTATACCTGAGAACTGTTAAAAAAAAACCTTTCTGTTTTCAAGCATCTTTGGAGCACTAATGATAATTTCTTCAACTTCTTATAATCTCATCTGAAATCAAATGTACTGCCATCTGAAAGTGCACAAATCTTATTCAATTCAATTTTATTTTGAAGCAGTGTGGCCAAATAACAAAAAATAATGAGTTTCTTGTCCAGACATTTTCAAAAAAGGAGGAGGGAGCGTCTATTTACTATTTTTTCTTCTTCTTTTTTTCTTCCAAGATGACCACCATGCTAAATACAGCTGGCCAAGGTATATTTATTCACAGATATTGTGCTATTTCAGCACACTGATGCAATGTATGACAAAAGAAATGATTTTTTTTAATCATTTTAGACCACTTGCTTTAGGAAGTTTCAAAATTCAGAGAACAGAGAAAAATTTACATGTGTTCAGCTTGAATTAGCTATAAAAGCTATTTCTACAAAATGTACATCACAGCCTTTTATCAGTTTTTTGGTCATTGAATCATGTATGAAAGGCAGGGGCGTACGCAGGATTTTTTCAAGGGGGGGGGGGTTTTTAAAATATGGCCCAAAATATTTTGCTCCCGAAAATTTGAAAATCGCGCCGGTGGGGGGGGGGGGGGGGGGGGGGGTGGGTAAGCGGACACTTTTTTTTTTTTTTTTGGTAGTCCAAAAAAAAATCGACTCAGCCAACCGAAAAGTTGCTGAGTGAGGGGGGGGGGGGGGTTTACACACATAAACATACCAAAGGGGGGGGGGTTTGAACCCCCAAACCCCCCCCCCCCCCCCCCCCCCCCCTGCGTACGCCCCTGATGAAAGGAACCTGCATAGCAGGAAGTGATTTACATTGTAGCTTCGGAAATCTGAAAAAGAGTACTTTCAAACAAACCAGAATGAAGTTTTTGTACAAAAACAATTAAGGCCATTAATAATTTCAGTGGAAATTTCAAATTTCACTTTTACAATTGCAAATCCATTCAAGTGGCATCATGCCTAGTGAGGGTCAAATGAAGGGGGGGGGGGAATTGATAAAAAAATGTCTCTTTTAATGCCCTGTATGACATCGAGTGGTTTAAGGCGCTTGACTGGAAATGCGAAGGTCGAGGGTTCGAATCCCGACACGGCACTAATATCTTTTGGCAAGATATTAACCTGCACTGGAATGGCTGGAATGCTCCCCAGGGAGTGGAGATTGTGCACACATTGTGTGTGGGAAAGCACTGAATGAGCACCAATGACCAAGGTAATAATATATTTGTAAAGCACTTAGAGACATTTGTATAAAGTGCTATATAAAAGCTAAATATTATTAAATATTATTATATGACATCAATGAAGCTGCAACCATTTTGATAAAAAATACTTTTTGTGCCCTTCACTGCCCTACTATTGATGTGTACATGTGTGTTAATGATAAGAGGATAGCACTGATGTATGGGATTATTAACCCTCTATTGAATTATTGGATTGACAGAGAAATGTCACACATCTGTAGCAGTTGCTTACATGCATGTTTTACATTCATCCGCAAAATCTTTATTTGTCATCGATATATTAAAGTCAATACCATATTCATCCATAATGAGATACCAAAGGTACGTACGACTATTGTTATTCAATATTTATTCAGTTCCCTTCCATTCTATATTTAGTCTGTATCTCATTCCTCCAAAAGTGTGCTGACCTTAAACATATTATTTATTGATTTATCCAAGGAATTTTCATTTAAATATGCAGGGTAGGTACGATACAATCAGTAGGAATACTTTGAGAAAAGTATGCCTTGCAGTGCACAAAAAAACAAAATATAATGAATACACCAGTTTGTGGTTACAACAGTGCGCATGTGCACATGGGCGCCCTTTTAATAGACGGGTAAAAAAAAACAATGACCTCTAGAGGTCAGTGGCTTACGCGTAAATTAAGATAGCACCCATGCTAATTAGATGTGAGCGCACAGCGCAGGCAGTGACGCAACAATACATGCGCACCTGAAAACATTGATGACACTGTCTGCATTGGCGCTCACATCATATTTGCATGGGTGCTATCTTACTTTACGCGTAAACCACTGACCTGTAGAGGTTAATGGTTTTTTTACCCGTAAATTAAAATGGCACCCATAACCGTAAACTGGTGTATTACATGTACATGTAATATGGTCAAAACTTCTTAGCAGTGACCTGTAAAGAAAGGCAACCAGTCACTTCTTGCCTTTAACAAGGTTAGACTAGAATTTTTATTCCCTTGAACATTTTTTTTGGCGGTGCTCTTTTTCTGAATAGTAAATAGTAAAAAAGAAGAGTAGGCGGTGGCCAAAAAGGAGGCAGACGGGAACGAGAAACTCATTATTTTTGTTATTTGGCCTAACAGAAAAGACAATTTTTTTGTTGTTAGTGAATACAGTCCTTTTCCAATTCTATTTGACTGATCATAATACTTAGTACTACCCTAATGATTGTATTCTTTATTAATTCAGCACTTTTCAGCACAAACTGTTGATTTTATTGGGAGCGATCAAGCAAGAACATGACCAAGCACAATGCAAACACAATCAAATTGGCATCCTACAGGGCACCCCATTTATACAATAAATGACTTGCTATAAAAACACAAATATTGTGGCCTAAACCTCTGCAACTAGAGTAATGCATTTAAATCATGTTTTATTATAAAGGTGACCATGACACCTGTAAAACAATATAAGTTCAATATCGAGATTTCCAGTCATACATGTATTTATCAATCTTAAAAATCAAATCTAGAGATCATCTTACCAAGATATTGGGCATCAGGTTGAGATCTTTGGTTGTCCAGATGCTGAAGAAGCGCTGAACTTTATGGTCAAACTTCCACGGTCTATCGATGGTAGCCTTGATGTAATATCGGACCCAGCCCCATGTACCTTCAAATGGTGGAGGAAGGCTCTCTCTCGGGAGCTGGAATTGAAATGGAAAGCGATGGTCTCCAATAGGCAGATTCATCCTGCTGGCTGTTTTGTTGTCCTTACCTGTTAATTCAGTGAAACATTTCAAGAATAACAATGGAACTTTTTAAAGAATCATAATACCTGTTATCAGAATATTTGATTTGATTTGATTCAACATTGTACATTATAGATAATGCATTCAGGAGACCGAAAATAGATACATAAAGAGACTATTGTATATAAAAACAATTAGAATAGATAAATTAATGAAGAAAGTGATTGCATTACATCAAAGGTTTACCTGCACCACGCAGAATAACTTCTTGCTTGAAGAATGGAATTTTCCATGTGTAATGGATGGTTCTTCTGTGCTCTCCAGAGCCCCTTGTTTCAGACCAATGTGTGTAGGACTTGCCTTTACACACTACCTTAATACCTGTAGATGAGAGAGGGAGAGAGGGAGAGAGAGAGAGAGGGAGAGAGAGGGAGAGAGAGGGAGAGAGAGAGGGAGAGGGAGAGGGAGAGGGAGAGAGAGAGAGAGAGAGAGGGGGAGAGAGAGAGAGAGAGACAGAGAGAGACAGAGACAAAGAGACAGAGCAAATAATTTACTGATTAAAATTAAATCAATTCATCATATATGTTAGTTAATAGTTCCACTCTAAAAATTTCATGGCACATTTCCATCATGGGATTTTCATATGGTATTTATGATGATGATGATGATTAAGAGGATGAGGATAATGATGTTGACAACAACAACAACAAAAACAAAAACAACAATAATAATAATAATAATAATAATAATAAAAATTATGAATAATAATAATGGTAATACGTACTACTACTCCTCCTACTACGACTACCGGTACTAGTAATAACAGATATAATAATGCAAGAGGTCAAAATGCCATAGATAAAAATGTCACCAGACACTAGAAAGAGGATCTTATTTTTTTCACATGGTAATCTGAGTTGATAATTTGATATCCTACATTTTTTTTATTGGAAAAAGGCGAAAACCTGTTTTACAAAGCCAACAAAATTTGACACCTTCATGAAAACAATACTATCGGCTAAGAAACATAGTCTCCATCACAATCTTTCAGATTTATCCAAAATTACCCAAAGAGATTAGGCCAAATAACAAAAATAACGCGTTCCTCATCCCCGTCCACCTCCTTTTTGGCATCAGATTGGTTGGTAATAAGTCCTCACTTTCTAAGCCTAGGCCTTATAGGCTTAACTAATTAGCTTCATGGCCAATGAAAATTCTTAATCTTGTTCCCCCTCAAATGTATATTTGCATCGATTTGCCATATAGATCTAACAACTGTATGGGGGGGGGGGGGGGTGCGGTTCGGGTGTCCGGATACTTAAACAGTTTAAACAGGGCTGTCAACCCTCCCGCATTTGGTGGGAATCTCACGCCACCACGCCCCTTCTTCCGCCGCCCCAAAAGCTTGTAGCGGGAGACTCCCACTTTATGAAAAAACCTCCAGCCAAACCGTAGCGTATACAAAAAAAAAAAAAAAAACTTAAACAGTTTAAACAGGGCTGTCAACCCTCCTGCATTTGGTGGGAATCTCACGCCACCACGCTCCTTCTTCCGCCGCCCCAAAAGCTTGTAGCGGGAGACTCCCAGTTTATGAAAAAACCTCCAGCCAAACCGTAGCGTATACAAAAAAAAAAAAAAAAAAAAAATGTGCTCTTACCCTCGTCTTAATCCATCCAGAGGCAAACTTCCTAGTTTAAAAAGAGCTGTTCACACACAAGGATATCTTTATATACAAGTTAGTATTATACCTCGATCCATTATCCAGGTCCCATCAACATCAAAACATCAGAACTGACAGTGTTTGAAGACATGGATGGAACACCCTCCCAGTCGATGTCTTGCACCAAAAACAGTAACAGCGATTTGTCGAAGCCTAATTATACGTCTCCAATCTGCAGATACAATTCTGTTTACTTGCACCTTGTTGTAGTTATTGGCACATGCACCCTACCCTTATGACACACACTTTACCAACGTTCTGCAATTAATCTTCAAAAATGAAGGAAGCAGACTGCACCAAAGAAGAATGATTGAATTAACATCTCACCTCGAATATCTCCTTTTTCTCCAGTCAGAACTATCCTAGCTTGTCCATTGATGGCGTCTCCTGGTTTAAACACTTCGTTGTTACCTTCGAAAACCACCTCGAATGTCTGCAATTTACCCATTATTGACGATTTGTCAGTCTGATGTCATTCAGTAAGACCTATAGGCCTAGGTCTATATCTAGAAGTTAAAATTCACTTGTTGACGACACCGGGAACGGGAACACAGTTGACAGTATCACACCAGCTAGCGGTCGCGGTCGTACTCGATATACTCGACTGTATACCGTGTGAATCCGGGGAGCGCGAGCGCAGGGCGCGGTCGGGAGCGGGGCGGGGAGTAGTGAGCTAGCGCGCTATAGGTATACGGTATAGGATTAGGAAGATGGATGAAAGTGGAGGAGATCCGTCACTTAAGCCAGAGCCGAGAGTAATGAGTAGATGTAATACGGAGAGTTGCGACTCGCTATATCCAAAAAGAGTGATTAGTTTCGAATTTAAATGCTTCAGAGATGAAAGCTGATATTATGATGAAGGCTTGGGCCTATGAGCATGAAATATCAGAAACGTTGTGTCGGTAAAAATAGCACAAACATCACACTAGTGTAGTCTGCAAGGCCAGGGACGTCAGACCGGCCCGAACTCTGATTTGAAACCGTAATCCTTTCTAGACAAAGTCTGTTGTAGTCTAGTCTCAGATAGTGCAGACACTGTTAATTTACACAAAACGACTGGCGAGGGTTTCATTGTCTGGCAAACTGCCACTCCTGGCGCTCCATTAATTATTATTATCCTGGCTTTATAGCGGCTAGCCATTAGGCATTACAGAACTCGAGCATATACGCATGCATCTAATTACCTCACCTGGGGATTTTCCCCGGTCATGAAGCAATATGCGCTACCCCCCTAAACGATGATTCCTATAGGCTGAAACCATCTCTTTCTAAGTCTCGCTTTACTCTCTCCTGCTCTCTTTTTTCCTCTCTCTCTCTTATCCCCCTCCCCCTTCCCTCTCTCTTCTATCACCTTCCCACTATCTCTCTATTTCTCTCTCTCCCTTTCCCTCTCCCCACCCATTTTTCTGAGTCGATACGCCTCTCTCTTCTTATCTCTCTCTACCTTAAAGGTAAAGACCAGTAATGGTCATGCGATTGCATTGTGAAAGAAACGTTGTGGAATCGATCAGAAAAGGTTGATCATCTAGCATCTAGCATCTGCAAGGTTCTGGAATCATCAAAATGATAAGAAATTTGGCCCATTCTTCGTAAAGTTACAAGCACTATACACAGAAAGATGTATATGGGACTACCCTATCTCTCTCACCAGACCATGAGAGAAATAAGTTTACCAAATATATGAATTAGTAGGCGGTTTCCCGGCAAATTTTTTATCATCATGTATTAGTCAAAACATATTCTTTCACATGATTGGTAATGAGAACTTCCATTTCATTTTTTGAAATTGGGGCGTTGCCAATACTGGTCTTTACCTTTAATCTCTCTTTTTCTCTCGCTTTTCTCTCTCCTGACCTCTCTCTCTCTCTCTATCCCTCTTCCCACAGCACACCTCTCTCTTTAAATATGCCCCTCTCTCCTATCTCTCTCCTCTTTCTTATTCCTTCCCCTTTTCTGTCCCTCTATTTCTCTCTCACCCGGCTCTCTCTCCCCCATCATCTCCTGCCTTTGTCTTGCTACAATATGTAGCCAGCCTGGTTTCACTCGTTGATTTTCATGTGCGTAAAACAACAAGTGTATCATTTTAGTTCAACTTTGTTTACACTATATTCAATTTCATTGTAAATCAACCATGATGAGTTCCTGAACATTACTTTACGTGTTGATTTTTTAAAATCTAATAATAAATAAATAAAATTAATAAAAAATTGTTGACTATGTAATATAAATCAAAATCTACTGAAGATTTTAAGATCGTTTCAACCCGACTCGCGCTAGATAAGCCATCGTCCACACTATTAGCAAACACGACGAATTATTACCCCTCCCCCCCCCCCCGGTCTGAGGGCTTGCAAAATACCTCTTAACGCGTATACCGGCGCGTACAGCAGGAATTCGAATCATTTTTTTCTTGAAAAATGGCTCCAAATGGACGTTTTTTTTAATAATGCGGCACCACGCGGACCGCGTCCAATCTAAAAAAACAACAACACCCTTTATACGAGTTTTCTTGGTCACGCATGCTCATAGTATTTATATTTGACCGAGACCCCCGAGGGGTTTTCATCAACTACAATAATGATTTCGGGGCCAGCTTAGCTGTACGCTCCTGATTTTGTATCCTTTTAACAAATAGGCCGTTTGTAGGGGTGACCTCCCCCCAAGACTCCCTGATATACAGTGCGTCCCAGAAAAAACGAAACCGAGCAGTATCGATGTTCTATCATAACTTAATCCCAACTATAATTAATGAATGATACATATTTGGAAAGCTTAGAGTCTCCTCTTTCATGTGATGCTACTCAGATGATGCATATTTCACGCATGAGTGATTAAAAGCAATTTGAAGGAAGTAAACCAAAAAGACATTTGGCGGGCGGTATCTGAATTTCGAAGAAAAATTCACATTTCTAGAAAGTTGAGTTTCTGCCCTTTCATATGACACCTCAATCAGGAAAAATGAGGGAGGAATGACAAAGTTCTATTTGTTTAAAGTAGTGCTTGCATTTCCATAATTTTATTAAACGAATTCGTTTTCACTGGCTGCCTGCCGTATCAATAAACGAAATTAGCAAAAGACTTAACTCCGTTTCGTTGACAATCAGCCGTAGACGAGAGTCTTCATGCATGGCTGATTGTCAACGAAACGGAGTTAGGTCTTTTGTCAAATCTGCTTTTTGCTACGGCAAAAGATGTAAACTCATTTTGGCCGTTATTGTAAGTATTATGCGACCATTCCCTTCAAAATACAGGTTTGAGCTCTAATTTCAATCTGAAACAGTAAGACACAGAATAAATCTTTCGGCATGTCAAATACATGAGAGGAAAGACCAAATATTCAACTATTTGATGTCGGTGATTATTTAGTTTGATGTCACACGGTAGTTTTGAACTGCTTCAACTGATTTAAAAACGAAAATTGTCAACTTCTTAGTGTAATGTGCGGATTAGAGCTCTGAAGGCGATGCTGACAAAATGAGCCTCGACTTTAATATGAAACAGTGAGACCAGTCAATGACAACTACCATGGTAACATGTCTCAACTCTCAACAGCCAATAAAAAATAAAGGTTTCCATGGATGGCAAATTTTGAATGGTAAGTTTTGTGCAACGGGGCCCTGGAGAAAAAGATTCGGCAAGCCAGTTAATGAGAGAAAAACGAACCTTTGCCGTAAGTTATTATCTACGTTCAATTTCATGCGATAGATTTTGACATTCAAATCCCGTCTCTTACTCCAGTTGTCGTATACTGTCTATATACCGGGACGCGTCATTTTTTGTCTGCGGCACAGATTGGTTTTTTTTAAAAAGAGGTCTTGATTTAACCCTAACCCTAAACTTTCCCATGGGCTCAACACGCACGTACATAACCACTGGCGTACCTATGGGGGGGGGGCAGGGGGGCAGAGTGCCCCCCCTGACGGGCTCCAGGGGAAAAAAAGAAAAAGGGGAAAGAAAAGAAAAGAAAGGGAAAGGAAAGAAAAAGAAAAAAGGAAAAGGAAAGAAAAAAGGAAAGAAAGAGAAAAAAGGAAAAAAAGGAAAGAAAAAAGGAAGAAGAAGAGAAAAGGAAGAAAAAGGGAAAAGAAAAGGAAAGGAATAAAAATGGGGAAAAAATAAAGAACATGGCCGTAAGCACCAGGGGGGGGGGGGGCAGTTGACCCCAGATATTTTGAAATCGTACAGTTTTTTTCCTGAAAATGTAGTGTAGGCCTATACCAAATCCTTCAATTCTACTTTTGAAAATGCAAAAGTACCCTCATGACCAGTTCGGTCGCTCGAACTCCCTTCACTCCTTTTGCTTTTGAGATTCTTCGAAAACTTTTAACGCATCTTTCCCCCTTCCCCCATCAGAAAAATATTCCGCATACGGCCCTGAAAAATTAAAACAAATGAAAATAGGAAAATATAAGTGATATAACAAATTTGAAACTCTTCGCTGGCGCGAACTGCTTGCTAGCCTATTTTGTATTAAATGTTTTCACTTCCTCGTCCCCCTGAAAAAAGAAAAGGATTAGTATTGCCTAGAATACAATTGTGCCTGCCCCGACGGGCCCCGACCTGCAACCATGGCAACAATAACACACAATATATGTACCAAATGTTACTAAAAGAGACTAATTCATTTTTCTCGCTCGCTACACTCGCTCGCGAATAAAATGAATAGACATTGCTTTGGAAACAATTGTGCCCACCCTTGACCTGCAACAATATCATTAAAAATGGAAGAGTTTTTTCGCCCTCTCGCCAAAAAGGAATTGAATCGCGTTAAACGCGATTGCGTCCATCCTGACCTGCACCAATAAAAACAAGTTTATTTATTAATTTCTATTAAAAGAGAATTTATTTTTTTTGCTTGCTCGCTATGCTCGCTCGCCAAAATGGAATTGACACCGCTAACGTGCCCGCCCCAACCTGCAACAACCAGTTAATAATTATGAACGAAACGTTATTCAAAGAAGTTTTGGTGTGCTCGTGCTCGCCAAAACGGAATTAACATCACCTTAGACATGATTGTGTAAGCCCTGCCCTGCAACAAAAAAATCTGAAATTTATGAACCAATTATCATTACAAAAATTTTGCTCGCTCGCTACGCTCGCTCACCAAAATAGAAATAACACCGCTTTTAATAATCACGTCCCTGACATGGAACAATGAAACCAAGTTTATATACCATATTTTCCCTATAAAGAGAAGTGATTTTTTTTTTGCTCGCTCGCTACGCTCGCTCGTCAAAATAGAATTAACACCGCTTTTAATAATCACGTCCCTGACATGGAACAATGAACCCAAGTTTTATGTACCATATTTTCCCTATAAAAGAAAAGTGATTTTTTTTTCGCTCGCTACGCTCGCTAGCTCGTGGAATTATGTGCCCACCACTAACCTGCTACAATATCATTAAAAAGAGAAATGTAGGGGGTTGCCTGCCCGCCAAAATGGGATTGACATTGCCTTAAACACGATTGTGCCCGCCCCCTACCTGCAACAATGAAACAAATTTTATATAGCAATTCATTGAGAGAAAGATGTATTTTCGCTCGCTAGCTAAAATGGGTATAAAATCACCCTAAACACAATATTGTTCCCGCGCCCTGCATGGGACAATAAATTGAACCAAGTTTAAGTGGCAATTATTAAAAAAGAAGTGATTTTTTTCTTGCTTGCTACACTAGTTTGCAAAAAAATGAAATTAACGTCGCTAACAAGTGAATGTTCCCACCCCCAACTTGCAACAATACCAGTTTATATACCAAACGTTACTTACAGATTTTTTTTTGCTCGCTCGCTCGCTCGCCAGAAGTGAAAATTAGCATCGCCTTTTTTGTTTGTTTCGGTCGCTTGCCCCCCCTGACGGAGTACCCCAGGTACGCCACTGTACATAACCCATGATCTGTGCCGCAGAAAAAAATAACGCTACCGGGACGTACAAATTTTTCTTTTTCCTTTATGATTGGCTGTTTTGGAGACACTATGAGTCGAATTCCCACTTAAATTCATTGCGCTATATGCTAGTGCGCGGATTTAATATTTGGTCGCTAGTTTCAACGGTTTCAATAACCTAAGATTAAAAAGAAGCTGACTCGTCGTGGCCAGAGATTTCATTAAAAACATATCGATAAAATATTTTGTTGTAACGATTTATCAATCATAGGAAATCATGTCAAGTACTTTAGAAGCTCTTAAGAAAAAGAGAGAAGATTTGAAGGCAAAGTTGATGCGACGGAAGGAAATAACGGGGATAGGCGTCGGTGGTGAGTTTCTGTAGTCCCATATCTTTGAGATCGCGTTAGTAAACCCAAGACAAAGGGTTCGGTGTAAACATATTTTAAAATCATATTTTTAATTTTTTTTATCGTGTCTCTTGCTCTCTCCCACTTACTGAAAAGTAATTCAAGAAATTTCAATTTAAACCCCTCAACAATTATTGACAATACCCATTATTAATTGTAATTATAAAACATGAGAGAGACAGAGTCGGAGAAAGAGAGAGAGAGAGAGTGCAGTGCGTAATCTTCGTTGCATGAAGTAGCCTTAAGGGCTTGGTGATAATATTTTTTATGATATTGATATCACCAAGCCTTGAACAGCTCCCGTACAACTGTGCGAAGAGGCATGTTAAAACATACCCTAAAATGTGTCTGAAATCACACCTTGCCACACCGGACGAATATTGGAGTCTTTTGGACAGTGGCCCTAATGAATTTTATGCTACTTCTACTCCTAATTGCCTATGGCAATAATAAATCGGAGGTAAAAATAACAAAATATTAGCAAATATCTTACCAGACCGATGCAGCTTAGGTTCCTTTCTGCTCTGCATTACAATGGTGTTGACCTGTGACTTGTGTTGGCGGGCACTTCTGTAAGTGCGCTGCTTCCATATAAATGTGCTGTAATGAGTTATATAGAAACTAAAAGATAAACTTGAGATCTGGTATAAAAAGAAAATTAATTCTCACAGAATCTAACGAACTTACACTGAATGTTCAAGATTACAAATAAATGGCATGTGCTGAACAATTTTGGAAGAAAATGTATACTGGCTGAGTAATGGGCATAGAAAGATAAGGAAATCAGGGTAGTACTAGCCCCAACACCATGTGTGTTGTCCCATATACATCTTTCTGTGTAAGTGATTTTTACTTTACCAAGACTCTGCCAAATTTATGATGATTTTGATGACTCCAGAACCTTGCATTACACACCATTACTTACATGCTATATGATCAACTTTTCTGATCCATTCCACACCTTTTCTTTCACAATGCAATCGCATTACCAGAACTCAAGTTTATCTTTAACTTCTAGATAAAAAAATAATTCTCGCGAATGTGATATTAAAACAAAATAAGGGTATGGAAATGAGTTGAACTCAACATATTTTGATCACCATGATGTGTTAATCCTGGTCTACCAGAATAATCACCTAAAATTTATATGAAAAAGTTTTTTTTTTTGCCAAGTCAATGATGACTGTATAAAATCTGGATTTTGATGTAGTCTAAAAGACCCAGAGATTTTGCTGACTGTGGACTGTGCTGGTTTTGATTTCTTATGCCTTTTCATTTTCATGTCAAGATATAAATTAGAATAAATTCATTTCATTTTTTTCTTCATCTTTCCACAAATGAACCTCTTAGAAAGCAAGTCACTGTCACTCAAGTTGGAAGTATCAAGCTCACCCATTCCACCTGTTAGTGTGCCTTCACAAAGTGTCTCATCAACATCAACAGGAATCAAACTAGAAGATGGATCACCTCCTCTACCTATTCCAAAGGTATTTTTATAAAGCACTGAATGTATTATTACCTGGGCTTGAGGCTTGAGTCAAACATCCATACAGGCTCAAGTATTCTAGGAATTACTTTATATATCTACTTCCCTTTGGTTTAGAATGTCAACGTAAATTAATCTCTTATCAAAGAACTTTCTGATACTACAAGTTCAAAAAGTTAATAGCCTTCAAACTGACTAAAGCCATGCCCATCCTGGCTTTAAGGTTCACTAGATAAAAATGCTCTTCTATTCCGACTACTTGCTGTAAGATTACATGTAGATCTAGAGAGATTTAAAGTATTCCTCAACTTAATAAAAAAAGAAGAAATATAAATATTTTGAAAGAAATTAGGTAACATATATCCATATCAGTTAAACTTTTACTGGAATTTTATGTTACACTTTCAGTAAGAATAATAATAATACTACTCAGTTTTTATATAGCGCAAAGTACAATTAAGTAGTTGTAAATGAATCTAGATGTTGATGTGTGTCTGTTTGAACGAAAAAAGGGCCAATAGTGGTCATCAACAATGAATTAATATGTTTGTATATATTCATGTTTATGCATTTCTGAAGCTTGGTGTTCTTGTAAAAACACAGCTCATTAGATAAGTTGAGTTTGTTGTTGTATATTACACGAAAAACACCAAACAACAATCCATATTTGTGTACTTTCCATCTGTGCCATGAGAGTGCTTCGTGGCATAGACTCAAACACAATGCACATTGCAGTAGACAGTTTGGTATAATCAGTGATAGATTTGCCTTATGCATAGAAGACGTTAATGCAACATGATTACAGCGATGCTCACCATTATTGTCCCAAAATTGTAAGATATTGGTAGATAATCAATTGAGAGAATTTGAATGTAATTACAAAAAAGTAAACCCTTTTTTCTGATGTTAAGCAAATTTGAAATAAGCTAAAAATAAGAGAGGACCTAGAAATAAGGAAAATGTCTATGGATTTTGTAAAATAATGTAATGCCAATGATAAAGACTTGGACAAGGTATGTATGCTCTGCCACTGGTTGGTACAGTGAATTTTTTTTTTTTGCATTTAAGTATTATCTGAGATTGTTGCAGGACAGATGTAACATTTATCTTTGAGTGCTCCATTTAACCAAATGACTCACATTGCTTGGAATACAGGAAGGATGAGTGATAAGAATTTGTTAAAGCTTATGCTTTGCATTGAATCTGTTGAGCTCTCCTGATAATATGATTTGACAGGAATTAGGTTGAAAGTGTTTACCCTTGTGTGTGAATGAATCCTTTCCTATCAAATTTCCTGTCTATTTTCATTCAAACACATGTTACAAATGGGTAATACACAATAGATATTTGCCGCAATGGGATACTTTCTCTATGAAAGCATCATTACTTAAATGTTGTCAAGATTGTATAGAGATTTTTATGTTTGGTTTATAAGCACCATCTTTTACTTGAATTCGTTCTATTCCATAATATGCATTGCTCATCACTATGATACCATATAATTTTCCTGTGTTTGTTATGAATTGTATTTTCCCTTTATATTTTTAGAATCCTGTAAATGCAGGAAGCCAAAGTATCTCTGATGGGACTGAATCTAGGAAAAGAAAGAGAGAAGAGTAAGTCTCAAGATATGATATTGTGATACAAGCTGTGGGAACATGCCTTTTTTATTGATGTTTAGAGAACAGTCATTATCCAGGGCATTGCATAGGTTGTTTATCCCGTGGGTCTGGAGTGGAATCTATCCATAAATATCCACCTGTCTCTTTTTAAACCTTGCCATTTTGGGTGTCCTAATTGAAATGAACGTTATCTCTGTCATTGGTGGTGGTGGTGGTGGTGGTTATTTTACCTGACTGCTGAGAAAGAATAAATGCTTGTAAGTAAGCAACCAGACGGCCGACGGCTTTAGGTCCTCTCTGAGGGACCTGGTAATGAGGATTAATGCCTTACCAAAGAGCAGTAGCGCATCGCCATGGTTTCAAACCCGGGTCACCGGATAACGAGACCACTGCTCTAACGACTGAGCTATCGTGCCTCCTATGCAAATCTGGAATTTAAGTGTAAACATTCTTAAGAATGGTCTTTCTGTAATATAGCTAGAATGCTTTAGCCTAATCCCTCTCAAACAGAAAGGACTTGTTCTTTCTAATCATGAGAATATATATTTTTTTCTTTCCCCTAGATCTGATTCAGAGCAAGATGGACCTGCTGCCGCAGTCAAACAATCAGCCGTTAAATCAGAAAAAGAAGATGAAGTTGTTGATCTATCCCTAGAAAACCTTCTTTCATCTACATCATTCAAAGAACAAGAGGTAATATATGTGCTGTTTGGTTCTTGATGAATACTGTACTATATCATTTTATGAACATGCTTTTGTAAGAGTAGATTGCTTTTTCTGTAAGAATTGATATCAATGCATGTAAATTTCTTTTAAAAAAATCATCTGTATAGTAATGCTCCTGTTCAGGGGAAAAACTTTTTTTCTTCTCCAAAATACATTTGAAAGAAAAGCTTAAAAACTCTCATTGTTATTATCCATCCTGAAATTCTTTAGGTATTTAATTATTGAAAATAAATTACAATGAAGGTTATCTTGAACTATATCATTATTGTAATGTTATTGAAGGATAATCTAAGGATATTTTCCATAATATATATTAAAAAAAATAGATTTTTTAGAAGCTACCATACAATGTTTCTAAAAGCTTTAAATGTTGATATGATCACATGCCATGGAAACCTTTAGTAAACAGCGAATATAAATTGTGATATATTTTTTACAGAGTAAAGAGATGGGGCAGGAGATACATGATTTATTGAGTATGCCAACAGCTAAAGAGAAGTCAATCAAGGAGGCTTTCAAGTCTAAGGGAGGTATGTACAATTCTTTAATCTAACTCTTTGTTCTTCATTTTCTTGTGTCTACAAAGAATGAGCAAAGTACATAAATAATAATATTTCTGCTTAAATAGCGCTTAATACATTAGCAATGTCAGAGTGTCTAAGCACTTTACAGTTATTACTCTGGTCATCGGATTCTGGCTTGCCCGCACACAATGTATGCACTTTCTCCACTCCCTGGGGGATACATGAGCGCTATACAAGACTCCATGATCATTATTATTATCATTATTACCACTGTTTTGTTTCTATTCCATCGCACATTCAGGAACCGTCCATGAATTCTGCTCTCATGGTACAAGAGATGAATGCAAGAAAGTCTCCGGAATGCCAGATTGTAATAAGGTACGGGATTCTACTTCAAAAGCAAACCACTCCCTGCTTTTTAAAAATAAATTCATGAAAAAATATATAAAATTAGATTTGCAAATTTTAATGTTCCTTTTCTGACTCCAGAAAGTATGTGATTATCATGAGATGATGTATTATCCATATGATTAATAAGGTATGGTATGGAGTATTCACTTCTTTTTCCATTAATTATTTTTTGCCATATGAATACCGGTATGTGCAAATATCAACTGGGAACAGACAACGGTAGGATCTCTGACACAAGTATGTTTGGGATCTCAATCTGAAATTGTAAACCATAGATCATTTGTATGTGGTTGCTTTGTAATACCAATATGCACCAATGCATTCTAGTGCTATACTAATGATGGTAGGATGTGTTCAACCATATCTGATCTTTGTATTTCCATGCAATATTTAAAGAATGTTTTTATATGGTTCCTAAAATACTTTTTTGCTTTTTCCTTTCCTCTCAGCTTCACTTTAAGAGGATAATTAACAAGCACACAGACGGTGAGTTCTCAGTGATAAGCTTCGATCAATTCATTAAGCAGATTCTTCATGTAGACTTTAGTTGGAGGAAAAATAAAAATCATTTTCGATTGTAGATGTTAGAAATATTTTTCCAGTGCTGCCTTTCATGACCGAGTTATTAGTCCATGAAGTTTAAAAGTTACCTTTTTTTAGGTGTGTATTTGTGTATTGTAGAGCAGTGCAGGAGTTTTGATGAACGCTCTCTATTTGATTGAATTGATTTTCCTTTATCTGTTTAGAATCACTTGGAGACTGTTCATTTCTCAACACTTGTTTTCACATGGACACATGCAAAGTAAGTAAATGGCAGCAGTATATAGATTTGCTCAGTTTTTCGGATATATTTTTCTGTACAAATGTAGCATATTTTCTATTTCTAGTATGAGAATATTGCCTTTCTATTTTGGAAGAGCCTATTAAAATATGTAATCTGATTTCATGTTGTCATATCTGTATTATACCCATCTAGTATGTACATTATGAAGTGGAAGAGCGTAGTAAGAGTGGTGAGGAAGACAAAACTGCAGGACCGGTTGCCTTACAGAGGATGAACAGTAAGAGTGGTGCAAGCGTCATGACACCGCCGCAGGTAAGCTCAAACATGGACATTATTTTGAAACTATCATTATATGAAATTTTACAGCTTAAATTCAAGGGTTACTGGCAGAAACCAACTCAAAGCTTGTTTTGCTTCATGGTAAAGATAGTTTGCAGGCTGCTACCATGCAGACATGTGTTTTGGAATTTAGAAGGGGAATGTTGAGATGATTAGATTACTGAAGTATAGATGTGGTATTAATTGGAAGTACATGAAGCATGATGAACTCATAGCTACCAATCAGTCCTAGGATTGAGTCCCATCTAGTAGTTGTCAAACAAATATTATGAACCCGGGATTCCTCTGTTTTTGAAATATTCATTCTGAAAGCAAACAGAATACTCTAACCCCTAATTTTGTCTTGAGAAAAAGAAAACAAAAAGAAAAAGAAGACAAAGTGATGGTGTTGGTGCAAAGGATATTTTCCCTTGTTGAAATTGTTTTCTAAGTTTTGTATACTACTAACTAGTATAGTTTTTTTTTATGTACTCATTATTCTGTGTAATGCTATTTGTCCTTTACTAAATTAAATAGTTTCTGTTATGCAGATATTCAAAGGCACTTAGTAAATAATGAACATAATGATCATAATTATTACACTCTTCTCTCTCTCCCCCATCTCTTTTTTTCTGTGTGTCTGTCTCTCTCTTTCTCTCACTCACTGTCTCTTTATCTGTCCATCTATATAATCATCTGACTGTTTATCTCCCTCTCTCTTTCTCTTACTGTATGTGTCTGTGTCTCTTGCTCTCTCCCTCCATCCCCTTCTCCATGTTTGTCCCCCTGTCTTCCTCTTTTGTTCTATCTGTCTCTCCCTCTGTCTGTCAACCTTCTCTCTCTGTCTGTACATGTAGTGGGTACAATGTGACTTGAGATCCATGGACTTTGAAGTCCTTGGTAAGTTCTCTGTAATCATGGCTGATCCACCTTGGGACATTCACATGGAGTTGCCCTATGGAACGATGCAGGATGATGAGATGAGGAAACTCAATGTACCACTCATGCAAGATGAAGGATGTATCTTCCTCTGGGTCACTGGAAGGTCAGTAACCTTTCAACCTAGCACTCTACAAATGTAAAACAAAAACAAACACATTAACAACTTTTTTGTTTTTATGATATTAAATTACTGTATGTAAAGTAACAAATCATGATTTGGAAAGGGGAAAACCTGTGTTTATACCAAAATGCTATTTCAAATCAATCATAATAAAATGGCTGTTAAAGAAAAAAAAAGAAAAGGAGGAGAAGGAGAAGCGGAAAGTAACGTCGCAGGTTTTCATATTTGAAGTTGGACAATGTAAAGTTTTCCTACATTTCGCATTGTCCACTCATTTGGTATTGCCAAATATTTCTCTGAATACTGATTTTTATCTTCTTTTTTCCCCTTCAATATAAAGATGAGTTTTTAATCATGCTTCTATGAAGATGAGCCTTGCTATCTTTCACACCGATTTGATGTTGATACCACCTTATCTTGTATTTAAAGAGCCCCCTCTACGGCAGCCATAGATAACTTCCCAACATACATGTATGTTTGTAGACTGTGCTATGGTGTGAGAGTGTGAGATGGGTCTTTAACTATTCATCATATTTGACTATTCATGTTTGGATCTAACATTTTTGGTCAAGGTTCGAAAGATGCATATCAGTTTCAAACCTAGGTTGGTTCATAAGACCAGAAAGCTGATGCCTAGTTGAACTTATACAAACCTCCTAAATAAAGTTGAGATCTGGTGTGAAAGAAACAGTGTGGAATCGATCAGAAAAAGTTGATCATGGGGCATTATATTGGTGTGTACTTGAACATTCTGGAATCATCAAAATGATGAGAAGTCTGGCCCAGTCTTGGTAAAAGTAAAAAGCACTGTACACAGAAAGATGTATATGGGACAGTAGGACTACACAAACATGTGGAATAAAAATAAGGCCCACATTTTTTAGCTGTTACATGTCATATTATATTATAAGGGCATTGGAAAAGCCATGCCTTTCAGAGAACATGTTTTTCCACACTCGCATGATACAATGAAAACGCTCACAAATTATTTTTCACCTCCCCAGAACTCAACCTTCCCTTTAAAGCCCCGCTGTACTACTTGTAGCTACTTGCTCCCTCTATATTATAGAAAAGATTCAATTAGTTTAATTTTGGCCATTACAAGTCGTGGGTTAGTAATGTAGACAAATGCTCATGGACCTGTTACAGCTCATTTTATTACCAAAGAATGTCAGTCAGTCAGTCAGTCATTCAGTAGTGTCTGACAGGGAAGTCTAGAAAGTAAACAGGTTGCTTGTATAATTTGAATACTAGGACACTGCTAGCGTTTAAATTTCACAGATAGGACATACACAGGGCATATTCATAATTCCTGCAAAGTTCTACAGAATTTGATGTTGGCTGCAAAAGGGACATAGTATCTTTAATAATAATAATATTTAGCTTTTATATAGCGCTTAATACAAATGTCTCTAAGCGCTTAACAAATAAACTAAGCTTTTTATTAGTATCAACTTATCAAGCTATTGAGTCTATCATAACTTTCAGCACTGCTGGATCCTACCCAAAGCCACTAACGTCAGCAGTATTTCAAGAATGTGGCACTTGATACCATGATGCTTTGCTCATTCTAGTACAGTCGGCAAAGATCAAACGCATGGCAGAGATTTGCAGAAGAATAAAATGCATTGAGTATATATCCCAGGCATTGCCATTCCATCCTAACACTTTCACTCCTTTATTCTGCCATCGCTCTAAGCTTAAGGCAGAAACCACCCTGGTTGGGTAGACAATGGGTTAAAGACATTTTAAACTCATCCTTGATTGAGAATTTAGCTGAAGTGCTTGACATTGACCTCTGTCTCCTCCATGCCCCCTAGGAGTAGGTCAGTGTCAGCTGAAGGATCCTGGGAGTGCTACTTACCTTGACCTTTCAACCCTGGTACAATCCCATAAACCCCTCTGTTTATCCATCTACAGGTGTTTCACTTCTTCATAAACTATGTCAAGCTGCAACCCCCTAAGCATCTACTCAGATCAGAAAGGCATTCAATCATTTGTCTTACTCAGAGTGAATGTCTTTCTGGCTCTTAGTAGGCAGTGTGATGGTGTTCTTAAATGTACCTCCCATACAAGCCTCCATTATTGGGTATATTTTATGTGTAACCTCTGACTTGTATTGATACTGAGATATGTAGAGATGAATGTATAGCTCTGTATTTAAGAAGAAGGGCATTCAATCAATTTTTAAACTCAGAGTTAATGTCTTTCTGGCTCTCAGCAAGCATTGCCAGGCAGTGTGATGGTGTTCTTTAATGCACGTCCCATACCTACATGAAACTCATTTCCCAAGTCTCCATTATTTATTGGATATATTTTATGTGTAACCTCTGACTTGTATTGATGCTGAGATATGTAGAGATGAATGTATAGCTCTGTATTAAAGAAGAAGGGCATTCAATCAATTTTTAAACTCAGAGTTAATGTCTTTTTGGCTCTCAGCAGGCATTGCCAGGCAGTGTGATGGTGTTCTTTAATGCACGTCCCATACCTACATGAAACTCATTTCCCAAGTCTCCATTATTTATTGGATATAGTTTATGTGTAACCTCTGACTTGTATTGATGCTGAGATATGTAGAGATGAATGCCCGGCCCCCCCACTCCGAGAATGGACGGACCCCATGCGTGTTGCCAAAATGTCCTTTTCGTAACAAAAGAAAAAGGTCGACCCGTATTGACTTTACACACCGGACTTTTGCTGAAAAGGGGGGGGGGGGGTGCTGAAAAAGGCTTGTATACAAAAGAAAAAGGTCGAGCTGTATTGACTTTACACACCGGACTTTTGCTGAAAAGGGGGGGTCGGTTGGAACATGCATATGCGTACCCTAAATAACACTGAGTGGGGGGGCCTGGGATGAATGTATAGCTCTGTATGTAAAAATGTTGGATATAAATGCCAATCTGAAGTGGCACTTATAAAGGTTTAATAGCTATTCCTTAGAAATTGAATTTCCAAAGTGGTGAAGTTATATTAACACCACATGAAGAATCATTAGACCCTTTAATATATGGATAAATCAAGAAGGTATTCTGTGACAGTCTAGACAAACACACTTTGTTGATTCTTAATTTTTTTTAATGGTGATGATACTGAAGTGAAGATCTAGTACATGGCCTATTTCATTTATACATGTATAAGTTATTGCCTCCAAACTGCAGCATGTTTTAAGAACGTTTTTTTCAATCATGATACTATTTCATTTGAATTCTTCATACCGCACTTGTTAATACGCTTTAGTCTACCATTAGAAATGATGATTATTCAGAAATAAACCACACTTAGACCTGTCCCTTTACCTTTCCCTCCTATCTGATATTCTGATCTGCTCTTTTCTCCTAGCATTTTCCTTGTATTTTTGTTAATGTTTTCATTTTATGTAGAAATCTTTCATCTTTGAGCACACTACCAAACATTTTCAAGAAATCAATTTTAGGGTAACTTCAACGGCTGAAGCAGTTGAATTTTGCAGGTGTTACAATGTCCTATTACATGTTTTGAATTTGTAATGAAATAATCAGCCTGACTTCCAGATTACCTTTAAAGCTTATCTGTACTAGTTTATAGGAGGGATTAGACTGCCCTGCAAGGTCACTGGACAGGTGGTTATGTCATCAACTCAGCTCTCAAGTAACATAAGAAAAAGAGGATCATGGGGGACCAATTGTCACCGATTAGGCATAGTTTTTTTATATAGAGGGAGCAAGTAGATACAAGTAGGACAGTGTGGCTTTAATATAAAAAATTCAGGCATGTGATCGACATTTATTTCTTTATACAGTAGGTTTGCGGGTGCACCATGTGTGAGAGAGAGAGAGAGGTTTGAGGAGTCCTGAAAAGGACTCTGACTCTATTTCTTTATTTCTCTGACTTTATTTCTTTTTTTTCAACTCTGAAGAGAACAAATGATGGAGGTCTCTGCTAGTGGGTGGTTTCTACCCTCATATTCCCTGGATATTAATTCCTCAGTACATGACTAAAACGCAGTTTCCCAGGTGTGAGATTTATGATGAGTTTGGTATGGTGTGAGGATAGGAACCAAGGGTTTATAGATCACGTACATCCCACTCTCCCCATAGAGGGCGGCTAGGACGTGTTTGCACCAATTCTCTTTCTAACTCTTTCAGGCTCTTGTCATAAATTAATCTCCCTGTATACTTCTTTCTCCTTTTTATTTTTGTATTGTTATTTGTTTTTCTTTCTTTATATACCTATTTCACTCTTTATCTCTATATCCTTATCAATCTCATTCTATTCTTTTTTATCTCTATCCCCCTCTCTGTGTTTCTCTCTATTTCTCCTTTAATTTCTCTCTGCAGCTTTGTATTTAAATTTATTTTTCTTCTCGTTTTCTCTTGTAATCTTTCATTTTTTCTGTCATTCTTTTGCTTTACTATCTTTCTCATTCTCAGTTTCCTCTCTTTTTCTATTTTTCTTTGTCTTAACTTCCTCTCTCCCCCTCCCCCTCGCTCTCTCTCTCTCTCTTTGCGTCTGCCTCTGTCTCTGTTTATATTTCATTGGAGGGGAGATTTATGCCCAGTTATAAGTTACTTTCTGTTGAAACAATTCGCTTTTTTCTTCAGAGGGTTAGAATAATATCCTGGTAACACTGGGTGCCTTTAATCACCAGTTTTGCTCTGATTTTGATAATATTTCAAATTTTCAATAGAGTTTATGGATCAGAATGGTACAAGCATGATATGGGTTTAGTGGTTCATGTTCAGTGTGTACTTGACTTTCAAAGGAGAGGTTGAGGTTTCAAGTCCCACCCTGGCACAAACGTTCTTTGGCAATGTACATATGCCCCCCTTGACCCAGTTGAAGTGAATAGTAGTAGTAGTACATACCTTGCAGGAATAAATAATCCTTGAATGCTAGAGTACTGTTATAGTTTCCATGTTAAAGCTAGAGTCATGATACTTGAGCCCCAGGATTTTCTTTTAGTGGTAACAAGAACCATGCAGTCCCCCCATTTTTTTTCTTTTTCTTTTTTTCTTAAGAAATTTATTTTTTATTTTATAGAGGTAATGGAGATGGACCCACTGATTTGGCCTCGATTTGGCCCTTGTGTTTGATCACCCTGGCACACTTGTTAAGCACAGGTTCACTTTGACAGGTGTGCCAAGCTTACTAACCTCCCTTGCCACCAATTAGTCCGACTCACAGGGGTAAAAGGTTAAATCATGAACTTGAGACGACCTAACAAGGGTGTTTGTTGTGATTTTCACATTTATGAAACCTGTTGTGTACCGTGGTTTACCACAGCAGGGTATATAAATTGAAAATCTTCCTCAGGAGTGAGGTCTACATCAAGTTTGCTTCCGCTATTTTTATCTTTCTTTTTTTTTCTGTACTTTCTAGATCACGTTCCTTATAAATCAAAACAGTGCAAGTGCAAAAAGGAGCTAATAGTTCATTCTTTATATAATTTCAAAATCCAGAAATCAGATAATGAATAACAAGCAATCGGAATCTTGTCTTTAGCACTTGTTTTTGATTGATGAAGTGGTGTTTGGTGGCATCCCCCCTCCCCCTATTCACGAGGTAGTGTAGAGGGAGGTTGTAGTGAGTTTAATTATCTGGCATTCTAACTATGGTTGCGCAATCAGATAGCTTAGCAGAATGAAGTAACATGTGAAGACTGGAACAGAGAAAGTATTATTATTGACTTTCATTGAGTAGAGGTTCAACCGAAATAGTAGGATGTGATCTGCGTATATACCCTTACTACCTCAATTAGTCTATTAGCTACATGTATATAGCAATATTCTCACCCATGGAAGCAGGATTACACCTGTAGATGCACCAATTAAGTAAACTTGTTTTAAGTTGTTTCTATTCTGGGTGCTTCATGGTTTGTTCACTATGTTGCTACATTTTGCTAAGCTACTTTTTGTACCATCCTTCCTCACTCTGGTCAAAGAGAAGAACTTGGTTACTACCATATTAACAAGTTGTATAATATTTGTTTGTTTTGCAGAGCCATGGAGCTTGGTAGAGAATGCCTGCAGCTGTGGGGATACAAGCAAGTAGAAGAACTGATATGGGTCAAGACTAATCAGCTCCAGAGGTTGATCAGAACAGGCCGGACTGGACATTGGCTCAACCATGGCAAGGAACATTGTCTGGTAAGATCATAGCAACCCGGCCATGAGTCACATCTCACTTTGAAGCAGGGGGGTGTTTCACAAACTGGTCTTTACCTTTAATATAACCTGTCACTCCTTCTCCTATATCAACCTGTCACTCCTTCTCCTATATCAACCTGTCGCTCCTTCTCCTATATCAACCTGTCACTCCTTCTCCTATATCAACCTGTCACTCCTTCTCCTATATCAACCTGTCACTCCTTCTCCTATATCAACCTGTCACTCCTTCTCCTATATTAACCTGTCACTCCTTCTCCTATATTAACCTGTCACTCCTTCTCCTATATGAACCTGTCACTCCTTCTCCTATATGAATCTGTCACTCCTTCTCCTATATTAACCTGTCACTCCTTCTCCTATATCAACCTGTCGCTCCTTCTCCTATATGAACCTGTCACTCCTTCTCCTATATGAACCTGTCACTCCTTCTCCTATATGAACCTGTCACTCCTTCTCCTATATCAACCTGTCACTCCTTCTCCTATATTAACCTGTCACTCCTTCTCCTATATTAACCTGTCACTCCTTCTCCTATATGAACCTGTCACTCCTTCTCCTATATCAACATGTCACTCCTTCTCCTATATCAACCTGTCACTCCTTCCCCTATATCAACCTGTCACTCCTTCTATATCAACCTGTCACTCCTTCTCCTATATCAACCTGTCACTCCTTCTCCTATATCAACCTGTCACTCCTTCTCCTATATCAACCTGTCACTCCTACTCCTATATCAACCTGTCACTCCTTCTCCTATATCAACCTGTCACTCCTTCTCCTATATGAACCTGTCACTCCTTCTCCTATATCAACCTGTCACTCCTTCTCCTATATTAACCTGTCACTCCTTCTCCTATATGAATCTGTCACTCCTTCTCCTATATTAACCTGTCACTCCTTCTCCTATATCAACCTGTCACTCCTTCTCCTATATCAACCTGTCACTCCTTCTCCTATATGAACCTGTCACTCCTTCTCCTATATGAACCTGTCACCCCTTCTCCTATATTAACCTGTCACTCCTTCTCCTATATCAACCTGTCACTCCTTCTCCTATATCAACCTGTCACTCCTTCTCCTATATCAACCTGTCACTCCTTCTCCTATATTAACCTGTCACTCCTTCTCCTATATCAACCTGTCACTCCTTCTCCTATATGAACCTGTCACTCCTTCTCCTATATGAACCTTTCACTCCTTCTCCTATATCAACCTGTCACTCCTTCTCCTATATCAACCTGTCACTCCTTCTCCTATATTAAACTGTCACTCCTCCTATATCAACCTGTCACTCCTTCTCCTATATCAACCTGTCACTTCTTCTCCTATATCAACCTGTCACTCCTTCTCCTATTCTCTTTTCAGTGTGGTGTCAAAGGTAACCCGGATAATTTCAACAAAGGTCTTGATTGTGATGTCATCGTAGCTGAAGTGCGTCAGACGAGTCACAAACCTGATGAGATCTACGGTCTGATAGAGAGGCTTTCACCAGGCACCAGGAAGATTGAACTCTTTGGTAGAATGCATAATATACAACCAAACTGGTAAGAATACACATACATATGGTCAAGAGCTCTTTGGTAAAAAGTGTAATGTAACATAAAAATGGTAGGTTTGCAATTGGTCAAGAGCTGTTTGGTAGAGTGTACAATGTGCAACCAAACTGGTACGTATACACCTAGTCAAAAGCTCCTTGTTGGAATGTACAAATATTCAAGTAAACTGGTAATAACCTTTTCAAAAGTTAATTGTAGGTCCTTTTGTTTCATAGACCACAATTTTAACCCCTGAATTATGTTGTCTTTGAAAGCATTTCTATTCGGCTTTTGTTTTGATCTCTCATTCATATCAGGGTGACACTAGGGAACCAGCTGGATGGCGTACATCTCGTGGAACCAGAAACCATCAAGAGATATCAAGAGAAATACCCAGACAATAATGCTTTGAAAGCACCCCAGAAATGAGAACAGAATGAGCTCCCAGCCAGCCTGCCCAAGGTTGCCCCATGTCCAGCGTCCCGTCAAGGTCTGTGTTACTGATGAGGACTATTCTAGAAAAGAGATTGGAGCAATACCTGACTGAAGCTGTGACTCGGCCAGGAGGTGATCAAGATCTGTATGCTTCTATGATGACACCAGAATGAGCTCACTCTCTGCTACGTACCTTGCTCCCTCCCATCTCACGGCCTGTATTGTCCAAGAGGGCAGCTTCTAGACGTCGGTTAGATCCGAGTGTTCATGAAGCGATGGCTGTGGAACTTTGATGATCGAGGAGGTGATCCAGGGGATGATCCAGGAAGTGATCCAGGGGATGATCCAGGAGGTGATCCAGGGGATGATCCAGGAGGTGATCCAGGGGATGATCCCGGGGATGATCTGGGAGATGATCCAGGGGATGATCCAGGGGGTTATCTAGGAGATGACCCCAATCAGAATGCTTCTTAAATCAGCTAAAGCTAAAGACCAGACAGTATGTCATGAACATTACTGTTCAACACTGTTTTGGTCCTTGAAAGTATTATGGTGGTTAATCTGAATTACTTTAATTAAATAACTATCCAGGAATATAACAATAATTTATGGTATTTTCTGTTAATGTGTAATGAAGATTTTTACAAACAAGCCCTAAAATGTATGGATTGGAAATAGATATGAAGAGGCGAAGCTTAACATCACAATACTATAGGTACAATGCTGCATTGTAATGATGACAAATGTATCAATCATTACTCTTGATGTAAGCCAGTTAATGTAATCACTAAAGGTTTGTCTTATATTTTATATCATGATTTCAGACAGTATTTCTGTGAGTAAAAGTTGGTGTCATTTTTATAACAGTTAAAGGAGATGTTGTGTTTGTATACTAGATTTCTGATTCAATATGTTGTGCATACACTACTCACAGACTATTCAAATTTGATACTAACCAGATACCCCAGGTGGTCATTAATTTATACAGTATTACCTCACTACACATCACAACCTTCTACTGTAAAGCAAGTTTTGAAGAAACTGCCATAGTGTGAAATATGTAAAAATTAAATGAATTACATGAATTATATGGATAGTAATGATAGTATACAAATAGTGAATGGCCATGAGTGCAATGGTACAAGATTGTGCAAGAGGTGAAAGATAAAGAGACGGTTGAATGGAGCGTCTCATCTTTCACCGAATGCAAAATATTGTTCCATTGCACGAATAAAGACCATTCACTATTTGTTTTATACAACACCTCGGACGTTAACGAGATTGAAACAATTTTTGTTTAAAGAACAGTTTTTCTAAGCCTAAATCTCAGCGATTTAAAAAAAAAATTGTTGATGAAATTGCTGATAGTGAGCGCGCGCTATTGTTAAGCAGGCACAAACCATGCGCGCACCATGGGCATACCATGCTTTGTGTTTATTGTTACGCGGAGTGCAATTTCTGTTGATCCATTCGCACCATTGCACAGTGACTTCACTTAGCTCACAATATACTTTGTACATCGTTAGTGATGTCAGAGTGCAATGGTGCGAAAGGATCGACTGGAGTTGCACGGCTGGAGAATGATGCCATTCAATTTGTACTGTGATCAAGAATTGACCAATGAGGTTGCAAGAATCTTAGTAGGCGTTGTATAATGCTAATTAAAGCTGCTGGGCATTTAAATACTTCCAGCTGGAAGAAATTAAAAAAATTAAAATAAAATAGGGTTCAAAATTGGGACAGACTTGTGACTTGTGTGACACTGTGAATCAGAGAATTTTACTCTTCACATAAATATTACGATCTCATTTTCTGATGAAATTATAAATTTATATATTTCTGATCTAATGCTTTAAAATTTCTTCCAGAATCAGACCACAGACTGATCGTATAGCATGTAGTGAACTCGAGTCTTTCTCTTTCCTTCAACATTCTTGATACAACCTACTGCTTCTTCAGCTCTGTTTCAAGTGATGTAGGTTCATTCACCATCTATTGTTAGCATCAGACCAGGGTCACACTGTAGCTAGAGTCCAGGGTGGTAGATGAAATGATAACATGCAGATATTGCATTTGTTGCATCTTGGATTATATGCTGAATCCCAAATTGTCAGTGCTACGTTTGTGTCTTTGATTAAAGGGCCAGTCAGATCATACAGATAACGAACTTTAAAATGGGTTGAAGAATGTAGCCAATGAGAAGCATTGAAATGGATCATGTGTGCATGCGTTAATTTTGACCATAGGCACAAGGCGAGTATTTTGGTCATTACAACCGCCAATTTCTTGACTTTATACTCGTATTGTAGACCCATGTTATAAAACAAATAATACATGTTTTTCGCTCGTGCATTAGTGATATGCAATGAGATGGACAATGAATTGAACAATTCTTGTTTGTTATCCTACTGTGAATTAACCTGCGTGCAGTGCATATTAGCTAATGCATTCGGAAGAATGTATTAGTTGTATAGCGTTACAGTAAACTGTTTCCAAAGTGCTCTGATTGTCTAAAGACAGACCTCATCATAAATACCTTGAGAGCCTGACTCCTTCAATGCGGTGTCATTTCAGGAGAACTGATGTGGGTAGTTTCCTTATGCTTTCTTGACAGAAGTTCAATGATTTTGTATCTGTTTACGTTACCTGCCCTGCATGAACCATTAATCAGGTCAGGTCAGGTTCTGGGCTTTTCTTTGTATGCCTTTGTCATAATGTCTCTGTTCCTTAATTGCTTAAAGGTAAAGACCAGTATTGGAAACGCCCCTATTTCAAAAAATGAAATGGAAGCTCTTATTACCAATCATGGGAAAGAATATGTTTTGAATAATACATGATGATAACAATTTTGCCGGGAAACCGCGTACTATTTGATATATTTGGTAAATTAGTTTATCTATTGGACTGTGAGTGATAAAAACGCATGTGTCCCGCACATGTGCGTAGTCCCATATACATCTTTCTGTGTACAGTCCTTGTAACTTTATGAAGACTGGGCCAAATTTCTTATCATTTTGAAGATTCCAGAACCTTGTAGTACATCTATGCTAGATGATCAACCTTTTCTGATCGATTTCACAACGTTTCTTTCACAATGCAATCGCATGACCATAATTGGTCTTTATCTTTAAGTATCAACAAAGTGATGTACCAACACCTTGAGGTATGACCACTTTTATTGTTATACATAAATTATCTTGAATCTTGAATATAGTTACTCGATGCACATACATGTACAGGTAGTTTATAGTTATCACAGACGTCTGTCCAGATTATAAAATGCAGTTTCATGCAATGGAATTATTTGACAATGTATGAAGTAAAACCAATTATTTTTTAATAAATTGCATTTCCTTAATCTAACTGTGTATTCTATCTGACAGTACTCTGTTTTACAGTTTCATTCCCATTATTACTCAAAGATTTATATACTGAAAGTTCTGGGCCCAGTCACTGTGGTCTACAACACAATGAGATAACAGATAAGTTTACTAAAGCAGGACTAAATAAAAAAATAGAAATCAACAACGCTCTTACCAAAGCAGAATCAAATTAAGTTATAAAGAAATACTACATAGAGATATGGCAAAAAAGATTGATAGAAACTTCATTCCCCCTACGGGAAACGCAAACTCTAGTATCGAAAACATTTGTGTGTTACTTGAACAACATAAGTAACGAAAGTATTCTCCATCGCCTAAGAATGGGGAACCTAGGTTTAAATGAAAAACAATTTGAGTTGAATCAACATGAGACTGGTCATTGTTCAAACTGTGAGCACAAAACAGAAACAGTTAACCATTTCTTATGCAAGTGTTCGCTCTTTCTTATAGAGAGAGCCATGTCAGTATTACAGAATCTGGCATAGAAAACGAAAAAGCAATCCCAATACTCCTGAAATCCACAGACATTAACCACCACCAGGCTCTGGTCAACTTCGTAGTTAGAACTAAAAGGGTACACTTGTACCCCTACTAACCACTTTGCACCGCACATAAATATTTGAGCCCAAGATGTTTCGCTTTTTTTTAGAATCTTCATGTATATGATCTGTTTCTTATTGGTTTTCGGACACAATTTTGAAGAAACGCGGTAGTGACGACTAAACTTATTGGTGGACGTCGGAGGGCCTATATAGGCTCAGCATTAGACTGAGTTTAGAAGCTTGTCACAACGTACCATGTCCGAGCTGGTCCTTGGACGTCCAATATAGCCGATAGGCCTTATGCTCGCCAGCCACTGAATTCTTCCACCATAAACAGTTTAACTTTTAAAAATTCAATTCATCCAAATTCAGGGGCGGCGATTTCTTTTCATGACCGTGGGGGACGAAATGCTAGGGACGGGGAGCAGTGTAGTAATGGGCAAAAACGAGTTTTTTTGGGGGTGGGGGGGGGGGCAGAAAAAAAAATCTGCATCACCCCCTTTCACATGGTATATGCAGGCCCCGCGAAACGTTTTACAAAGGGGTGGGGGCTAATAGGTCTTCGGTCAGGTAGAGAAAAGCGTAAGTGGAGCGTAAATTGGCTTGAGGTCAAGGGGCAAAGCCCCGGCGGGGGTCATGGGGCAGGGTTTTAGGAATTTAATAACGGATAGATGAGCATCCGGGGCCCGCCTTTGGGCCTCTGTAGGGGTCCAGGGGGCAGAGCCCCCGGATGCTCAGGGTTTTCAGGCATATAATTACGGTCAGATAAACAACCAGGGGCTCGCCTCAGGGCCCCTGGTGGGGTCCGGGGGGCTGACCCCCCGGAAGTTCAGGGAAAAACCATGCCATTTCAGCAACATTTTTTTTTTTTGGGGGGGGGGGGCAACTGCCCCCAAGCTCCCCCCCCCCCATCATAATGCCGGCGCGAGGAAGCATAGTGAACGAGAGAGGTGACGGTGACGGAAGTGACTATCCCCTCACAGGTTTTTGAAGCTTTGTTGTATTACACTCTGAATAATATTATGCAAGGGATCGAGCGTAGCTACCGAGCGAGAAGATTTTTGCATTTTTATTTGTCTAAACGCTGCACTCTTTGGCCTTCTAGAGCCTTAAAAATTGTTGCAGTCTTTAGTCAGTATTTCCTATACAATTATTTTTTTGCACTTTTTTCAGGGGGGACGATCCCCCCTAATAAAATTGAGGGGGGGGGGGACGTGTCCCCCGTCCCCCCCGGATCGCCGCCCCTGTCCAAATCTATATATTAAAAAAAGTAAACCTAATTTTAAAGGGGAAAAATCCTACCAGAAGAGGTGTACATATTCACTTCTGAATGACAAACGCATATAAACTAAAACAACAACAACAATTATTTCCGACGCTTTTTTGGATGTAATTTTCAAGTTGAACAATATTGTCCTTTGTACCTCTTCTGAATCCACTCTGACACTCTGGTAAAATTATGTTTTTCTATGTACCACATCATTCTCTCGTTCATCTTCTCTAAGAGTTTCGTGAACCTGACAGTAAGAGCCATGCATGCATGGGCCTATAGGCCGATGTCTTTAATTTCCGCTTCTTTATTTCGCATTAAAATAGGGACGATGTTTGAATGTTTGCATTGCTGTGGAAAAAATCCAGTTTCCCCATATAGTATTCATCATAATAAAGGATCATCTCTCTCCCTTTAGTTTTTTTTTTTATATACTTCATACCTGATGGAGTCCCTTCCTGGAGCAGAGTTCTTACATTTTTAGTGACTTATTTAATTCATAAGAAGTGAAAGGTTCATCAAGAACACTGCTCCAGGAAGGACTTGTATTGACAATACAGTACTTTCATGCACCTTCTCAAAATGGCGCGCGAATTCCTCCGCGACCTTTTGATCGGTGATCACAGTACCATCCTCATTTCTGAAAAGCATTGGTACCGCCATCATTAATTCTCTTGATTATTCTCCAGGTGTCTGAGGTGGGCGTAAAGCGATCAAGGTGTTTACAATACTGTTCCCAGTACTGCCTTTTTGCCTGCCGTATAGTTTTATGTGCGATTGCCCTTTCCTCCTTGAAGTCATCTATTAAATGAGGTGGAGGCAATATACAACTTTTTAGTTTGTTTCTTGCCCTACTTCTTTCTTTAATTCTAAATGAGCATTCTTTATTCCACCAGGTACAGAAGTGTGTTTTTCCATCTTGGAATTTAGGGTAATAGTAATTCTTTCAACGAACGCTTCGTATTGTAAGGTATTGTTTTCTTTTTCAATAGAAGTCCATTGTTTATCCTATATCTCAAGTTATCCCATTTTACATTCCTGGTTGACAAAATATGTTGTGAGTCCTGCTATAGAAAGACCCTTGCTTTACCTTTTTTGACTTATCTTTTGAGACATTAACTGGCTTAGGATTGGATCACTGCCCAAAACTATTGTTAAGAATTTGCCAAGACACTAGCGGTACCAGGAGTGGCGAAGGACAGATGTAATCATGAACAACACCCCGTTTGGTAGTCCACTCTCGGGGCATCTTCATTGTTCAGGATCACTAGGCTTCGTTCATTTACAAATGTTCCCATTAGCTTCTGTTTTATGACTGCCCCAGAGTGAATTATGTGCATTAAAGTCTCCAAGTAAAATTGCGTTTTCCCCTTGTAACATTTTTCAATAATTAATTTAATATTCCCATGTCAAGTTTTGGACATGTAATATTTTTAAAGAGATAATCTGTTAGTATTCATGCACATGTCCTACTATTGTAATTCATCTTGGCCTGACGGTAGTGAAGTAAGAGAAAGAACTCAAGAGGAGATGAAAACACAGGCAATGAATATGTGTGAGATGTCATGGGACATCGTCTGCTTGTGCAAATCATGTCCATACTGTGATCTCACACATCTCAGCAGCGTTCGGAGAGCTCTTCAGGTGCTATGCCAGGTCTGTATTTAAGCGTGTTGTAATTTAGAATAATCATTACTTTGAATGTTTCCAAGCATTGAATTTTGATAACCTTGTCGAATCAAAGTTTCAACTTTGCAATAATGAAAATAAAGTTAGTTTTTTAAATCAATGAATATCTACTTTAATACCCTTATGGCGCTGATGTGTTAATCCTATGAGGAGATGATGCAGGCTTTGAAGTGATAGTTGTTCTAGCAAGGCAGACAATCCATCATGATCCTTGGGTGTATTACTCACCTGAAACAGGTTAAACTTGGGATGAACTCTTGGAAGTATGCCAAGAAACACTCTTTGGTAGACATTGGGGTCTTGGCTCGAGATTATGTCAGGAGAAAATTATTCTCTTAACCTTTTGAAATGATTGTACAAATTATTACCAATAAAAGGTATTTGACAAATGTAACTCTTGTTTGTTTTGTATTTTTTTTTGGATAAAGTAGCATTCATGTAACTGTTACATTATCTTCATCATTCATCTAAGATATCGTTGTTATTGCTAACTTTTCTTTGTTTTAATCATTATTTTCATCTACAGTTAACTAAATTATTCATACCCCTTTTAAATTAATTTAATGATTTTAGTGTTTTTCGTAACTCAAGAATAAAAGGTAGAATGGGTGAGTTAGGGCCTTTGTTGGATACTGTTAGATGTAAGCTATTCTGTCACATTCTCAACAAAACATAAATCCGGACAAGTCAATCATCATCAGCACCATCATCATTATCATCATCATCACCATCATCATCACCATCATTGTCATAATCATCATCATTATAATCATCATCTCCCTCATCATCATCATCATCTCAATCACCATAAACATCTTCTACATCATTCTCCACTACCACCACCACCATCATCATCATCATCTCAATCATCATCATCATCTCCATCATCATCATCATGATCATCATCTCCCTCATCATCATCACCATCTCAATCACCATAAACATCTTCTACATCATCTCCACTACCACCACCATCCTCATCATCTCCACTACCACCACCACCATCATCATCATCATCTCCATCATCATCTCCATCATCATCTCCATCATCATCATCATTGTCATCGTCACTATCAACACTACCTCTTATTACTTATGACACATCTATCTATATCTTTCTTATCATTGTCATTCTCGTCTTTGTAATTACCTTGTTATCTTCTTCATCATCTGGATAATCATTTAAATCGTCATAGAGTACCGAAGTGCTAACATCATATTCACTCAGTGTTTCCGTTACTGGTTCCGAACGATAGCCTGCCTGCGCATGAGCTTCACCGCGACATCATTCAAGCAACGGGCTGGAGCAAGGCAAATTCAATGTTTGGCGCTGGTGTGATCACCATGCCATTGTTTAGAACCAGCGACCTTGACAACTTGGCTAATATGACGTCGCACTTACTCTTATTACTCGCACGTACTCTTATTATATTCATCATTATGATTTATCATTTTCTCACAGGCAATGTGAAAATATCA